AGGGCCAGGGCAAGGGTGCCCAGGGTGGCGGACAAGGTGGTGACTACAAGAAGTACATGTCTAACTACGGGAAGGATTTCGAGAAGTACATGCAAGGGCAAGGAAAGGGTTCGCAGGGTGGTGACTACCAGAAGTACATGTCCAAGTATACGGGCAGCTATCAGAAGTACATGCAAGGTCAGAAAGAGGGCACGCAGGAGAAGAAGGAGGAGGACAAGGCCGGAGAGGATAAGGAGAAGAAGGGTAAGGCTGCTGATGCAAAGGGTGCTTCTTCAGAAGGCCAGGGATTGCAGGAGTTTGTCAAAATTGATGTGACAGTTTTTGAGTTTCTTTTTCCAACTTTCAATGCCGTGTGGCCGTTTCTTTGCCAATGCGGCCCTGCCTGGAGGCAAAGCGACTCCAAGTGTTTTGCTAGAGGAGGACACGGACCTAGGGTGCTGTTTGAATGCGCTTTGAACAGATTGAGTCATCGAGTTGTTTTTCTGTGCTCATCGAGTCATCGGATGGTCCAAAATGCTGGAGGACACTGAGACGACCCCTGCTTTTCTGTTCTATGCCCCTTTGCTGTTGCTGTCTGTGGCTGGCATGGGCTCCATGTATGTGGAGTGCCAGCGCCGCGCGGGCCGTCGCCAGCAACCTGAGGGCTACTTGCAGCTAGAGGCCATGAGCCAACTTGCATGAGCGAGATGCCTCTTTGCACGGCCCCTCAGGGGGTCTTGGAGAGCTCCCTGAACCAAATTCGGATTTTCCTTTTCCCGCCTCTCCTCCGCGACATGCGGGATCCGAGATGTAGAGGAAGCGGATGCTTGGGTAGGCGGATGCTTGGCCGCAGTGCCATCCAGAATGTATGATTCATTTTCTTGACCATGGGGCCATTCCGCTGGGTCCAGGCAGATGACCGGTGCATGATCTTCACGACGGTTGATTGGCTGAAGTCGAGGTGTCCCAGCTAGGTGAAGTCTTTTTTCATGTTGTGGGGTGGTGCATCGGTGTCCCATGTCTTTGATGCGAGCCTGTTTGATGGCTCAGTTGATGCGCCTGGAGTTTTGACGGGGTTGGGTGATGGAGGCCCGTGAAAAGGGTCAGATGCAGTGAGGACAATTGATGTCGCATTGATGTCGCAGATGCCCTCTGCCAAACACAGGCAGCAGATCTTTTCGGACGACTGTTTGTTGGAAGCTGGTCAGTTACGAGGCGACTCCTGGTCTGCTCATCCCCAACCCTTTGCTTTTGAGTTCCCAAGTGCGGAGGGCGCCCATCGAGAGTGCTTGGTGGAAGGATTTCCCATCGTCTTAGTTCCATTTTCTTCTCATATCACTTCCTGATACTTCCTGTAGTTGCTACACCCTGGAGCGAAACATTTTTGTGTCACCTGTGCTGTAGATTTGCCAAGGATGCCAAGAAGTTTCACTTTTCAGGAATGGGATGATTCAAAGCTACTTATACTTGTAGGTGTGTTGAACTGAGGGTAACGCAGCTGCTGAACTACATAGCTTACGTAGTTCATAGGCACAGATCAAACAACTGGGTGGCACGACGAATCGAGAAAGTTTCCGAAGAGCCATGTTTCTTTTTTGATGACTATATTTACATAAGTCGTTGTCACACACACACATATATATATATATATATCTGTGTGTGTATTTATCCACTAATGACTTGGTGGCGAGTCGAAACCGTGACCCTTTTCATCCGAACATGAAATGCGCTCAATGTGACCCTTTGCTTTCCTTCTTTTCACGCTACTCAACTCCGGCTTTCATGGGGCTTCCACCGGGCGCCCCATGTACAAAGAGACGCGACGCCCTCCGCCGTCTCGAAGGAGCGGCTGCCGCGAGGGTCCGGTTTCGTGTCTCACTTGTGATCCAGAAAAAAAGACTGCTGCGAGGTCGTGCTTTGTCAAGGATGAGGGCAAGTAGATGAACCAATATTCCCGGAGTTTGAGCAGGGAAGTAGGCATCAGTGTGAGAATTTGCTTTCCTTTTCTATTCTTGGAACCGTGCCCGATATGTCAATAGAGCAGCCCAAAGCAGCTTTTGGCTGGCTTGATTTTTGGAGGAAACTTCGAGAGTTTGCCTTCGGCCTTCCGTGCTTTTCCGAAATACAGGAATGGCAATTTGCCAACTGTTTCCATACTTGAACGTGGGGGTTCATGATCCTCCGACTTGGTCGATGCCTCTCGATGGCGGGTGAGAACGCTCTGGTGGTGTTTTCCCCCAACGGCGACGCTGAACTTGTTCACACTTTTGAAGACCGCCTTTCCCAAACACGAGACTTGTTGGTGAACTTACGATAGTGCCATTGCGTAGTGGGCGGGTTTTGATGCCTAGCTGTTGGGGATTTTTCTTTTGCGCATGTGTTTGTTTCTCCTCCTCCCCCATTTTCCCCGACCCCCTTCTCAGGTCTAACCATGCAGCTTCGCAGCTTCTGAGACACCTTGGTGCGGAATTGGTGCGGAGAAAAATTGCTGTGCGATTCCGTCTGGATTTGCCCTTAGAGAACGGCCAGATCTTGCGCCTCTACCCAGAGCGAGGCCAAAGCATCCTGTCGGGTTCTTTGGAATGGGTACGGGGGGTTCTGGGCCTGATTTTGGTGATGCCCGAAGCGCATTGGAAGCACACTTGGTGCTTTAACTGGTGCTTAGCTGTCGCACGGAGACAGATATATACTACTGTATATACACAGATAAGCAGATAGATCGATCGTCAGGTTAACAACCAAACTTGCCAACAGATAGTTGGACAAATTGGTATGGACCGTTACGGAAGGCGGTACGGTGTCAAATACCTTTGCACAGACCGTGCGGCATGTGCGGGGGAGATGTTCATTTTTCGTGGCTTTATTCTCAGGTACTGCTTGGCCTGCACTGCAAGTGTGGCATAAGAAAGGGAGACCCTGAACTCATGGGTTTTCGATGGTTTTCGTCTCTTCAAGGGGCTCCTCCCACCCCAACAAAAAGAACCGGTGACACGGTGACACGGTGACACTCGGAGACCCCTCACGGAGCTCCAGAAACGGTGAGACCCATCTGGACGCTCAAAAACCGGGGCTCAAAAAGCTGGAGAAGCCTGTGAAACAGGCAGGGCAGGTGGCTCACGGGTGCCCCGGAAGCTCGGGTGCGCCTGCCAGCTGAAGCTCCTGAAGCCACGCACTGCGACGGAGCGGGGCGGTTCAAGTGTTCAAATCGGCAGCTCGTCATGTCTTCTAGAAGTTGTATAAGTTCCCAAAGATCGACGTCCTCAGCTTTCTTGAATTCCTCAGCTTCGACGGAGTGTGACTGGAAGATTTTGAGGTGCGTTTCTTCAAGCCGCACCTGGCCGGCTTGTTGGGTTTGTTGTCGCAGGCCTTCTGATTTCCACGGGGGCCTCAGGTACCAGGTTTTGCTTGGTCGGCGCCATGATGGGCCGTGGGCCCCAGGGGTTGGAAGCGAGGACACAAATCATGTTTGCCCATAAGGACGGCGTACATGGGGATGGCACATGATACATCTCGTTTCTTAGATTGTATTGCTCAGTGCAATTTTTGACGTTGAAACAGCCCTGGTCATGTGTTGCTTGCATGAAGCATGTTCTGGTTTCTGGCAGCCCTTCATCGAGATTGAAATCAAAGAGCCGCATATCATTTGTTGTCCCTCTTTCGGTGGGAAAGCTGCAGCAGGAGCCGTCCGTATCCGTATCACACCTCTTCTCTGGCCCCGGTTGGAGAAAACTGCCATACCTGAGGCTTGGATGCCGCCTCTGCATACCAGCAACTCTACCAGCAGGTGCGGTCACGTGACCGTTTGAAAAGCCAGCTATGACAACTGGGGATGGTGAGGTGGGATTGTGGTTCACGTGCTTTTCTTTTTTTTCGGGCATGTGCAGGTTTACTGGCTCTAAAGCAAGGGCTTTTATTGGTTCCCAAGTCTGTTTCGTTCGAACTACTTGGTGCAACTTCATGGCCTCCAGACTCGCGAATCGCTGGAGTCGGAGTTTTTGGAGTGGTTGGAGTCGGCCGAAGTGGGGCCGAAAGACGCAGGGACAATGTTCGCTACTAGGGGCTCCTGGCCTTACTACTAGGAGCAAGGATGCAACCAGGGGTCCTGGCGTCGCTGCTAGGAGCTTTCTTACTACTAGGAACTCCTCTTAGTCACTGACCTGACAGCTACAGCTGTGCAGGACTATAGCCTCCTTACTACTACTAGGAACAAGAAGCTACTAGGAGTATCCGCTTCAAGGTCTTTCTTCATTCGTCGGTTCAGTCTGGCTGGGCGCAGGCGGCTGCGTACCAGCAAGTAGCCCAGGCTGGGTGGTGAGAGGGCATGTTAAAGTCACTTTTGGATTCGTTTTGACAGCTTCTAGGTCGAGAACCACTTGAGGATGTACATGTTAGACACCTACCCAACCACCTGAGCTCTTGGCTCTGCCTTCGGCGGTTGAATGGTGGCCGGTTGGTCTGCAAGATGCCATCCGTTTCCACCAGAGTTACAGCCTGGCAGGTCCGAAAAAGCCGCCCAGGTTGGACGGTCGCACAAGGGTATATACAGTACACTCTCTCCAACAAAATGGAGGTGGGCAACCCCCTGTTTGTAGAGGAAAATCGTCTTGCCAGTAGTCATGTCATGTGAAGTAGGTCACACTGGCCCGTGAAGTAGGTCAGTTTGTGCCGAACCAGGCGGCAGGCCGGCTCAGAGATCAGTTTGAGCTCGTTGGCGGGTGTGCATGACTCGCTTCGCGATGGCGCTTGGAGCACTGGCCTTCCTTTGGACCATTCCAGCCGCCGCCACGGGCACCGGCTACCAGAAATACATCTCTCAATATGCTGGCGATTACTTGCACCAGTTTGGCCAAGGCTCCGGATACCAAGACTACATCCAGACATACACTGGAATGAAGTCTGGTGCCCAGACTGAGGAGGACACCCAACCTATAAGTCTCATGGCTGACATGAGCGAGGGCCACACAGACAAACAGGAGCCCGCTGGAACAGCATTGCACGAACTAGGGCGTACGGTATGCATTTGCCAATGGTGTTCTTCCACTCTAAGAAAGGGCTTTTCCAATTGTGCAATGACTGAATGTTCTAATCAACACACCCATCACACAAAGGAAAACATACATGAGGAGAGACACACACACACACACATCACGAACACACTGAAACTCCAAACTGGAGGAATCTCCAAGTGGTGCTGGCTACCAGAAGTACATGGCCCAGTATGCCAACGACTTCCAGAAGTACATGCAGGGTCAGGGCAAGGGTGGTGCACAGGGTGGCGACTACCAGAAGTACATGGCCCAGTTTGCGAATGACTTTGAGAAGTACCTGCAAGGCCAGGGCAAAGGCGGTGACTACCAGAAGTACATGTCGCAGCACATGAATGACTTTCAGAAGTACATGCAGGGTCAGGGCAAGAGCACCCAGAGTGGGGAGGACAAGATTGGTCATGTTGTAGAGCAGAAGTTGAAGAAGGATGAGGGCAAAGATGCTGGCTCTTCTGAAGCTCATCACGGCGCGTGTTTTTCAACACGCTTTGTATATAATGTTTCCATCGGTTTACTACATTTTGGCCACACATATTTCCCTCCCCAGAGCCATCACTTCAACATTCTGCCAAGCGGACCATGCCATGCTTTTCGGGAGCTCACCCTGACCAGGCAAGAAGACTGCAAGCGTGATCTTGGCGGAAGAGGCTTCGAGCCCTCCGGCGGCGCTCCTTGGTGCTCCCCTACTCCTGTTGGTGCTGGGAGGCATGGCTGCGATCTACATCGAACGCCAGCGCGGACTGCTGCGCCACACTGAGCCCCAGCAGCCAGAGGGCTACCTGCAGCTAGAGTCCGTGAGCGAAAGCGCCTGAGAAAAGACGTGCTTTCTCCTCCTCTCCCTGGTGACAAGGGGATGCCGCGAGGTTCCAGACAAATAGAATAAACGCCACCTCACCGGGGTGCGCCCGGTGGGTTGTGGTAGTTGCAATGGACTTTTCAAGATGTTTTTTTGGTTTTGGTCTGCCCGTTCGCTTGGCCACACGCCGCCTGGGCCGGCTTGCTTTCTTGACCCATGGGAGCCTTTTGAATCGACGGCTTGGGATGGAAGTCGGGAGACCTGGCACATGTGGGCACCAGAGATGTCCAAAGAAGAAGTTCTGTTGGCTGACGCCGTACGCCAAGAAATTGTTGTGATCTTTCATCGTTGTGGGCCCCAGGTTTCCGAGTGGCCGTTCATGCTGCAGTGGCAGGATTGCCCGCAGCATGAGCCTGGAGTTTTGACGGGGGTTGGGTGATGGCCGAACAACAATCAGCACAACATACGGCATGCAGAAAAAGCTCTGAAGACCCTTGTGCAGGTCCTTGACAAAGAAACACGCATGATTTCCGCCAAGTGCTGCTAGGTTTGTTGGGGGGCTGGTCGTTCTCCATTCCCAACCCTTTGCTTTTGAGTTGCCCAGGCCCCAGTCGCAAGGTTGAAATGCACCCAAGGAAACGCCTCTGAAAAGTAGAGCCCATGGGTTGGTCTTGGGAGCATTCATCGAATTTGTTGCCGTTCTTCTGCCCCACAGAAGTTGCAATCGATAAATCCAACCCTGGGCTTCACGAGGCTTCGATGCACCTTCAGAGGTGTGTCTCTCTAATCAATCTGCGCGCTTTCTCCGCGCAGCGAACAGAAAAAAAGGAAAGAAAGATGTACAAAGATCCCGAGGGGCTTTCCACTTACCCTTCTTGCTGTTCGAGACTTCGTGAGAGAGAAAAAAGAAGGATCGGAACCATTGGAGCAGCGGACTGCAGAAAATGGTGCGACTAAGACCTGGGATCCGTGCACGAAACCAACCCGTGTCGTATATGGCTTCCACCCAACCACTGCCTATTGCTTGGGGTGATCATTTGGGTGTGAGGCTTGTTAGCCCGGCTTGTTAGCCATTCTGCAGTCCTTGCTTTGTTGCCTGCTTCACCTCCACGTTTAACACCTCTCTTTCCTTTGGTGGCCGGCCTTCCGTCTCAAGAAGTTTCTTGGGAGGATTCCTCCTCTCTAGGGACCTAGAAATGGGAGCCCCTAGTAGCTTCTTGCTCCTAGTAGCGATGCCCTTTGTTCCTAGTAGCAAGAATGCAGGAGCCCCTATATAGTAGCTTCTTGCTCCTAATGGGGAGCTCGCATATGGAGGGGTTTTCCGCTCTAGGCCCTCGACATCGCGTGCGTCGAATTTTCACGCGTCGCAGGCTTATGCCGGCTACGCAGGCCGCAGAAAGCTGGGGGGATGCAGCAAGCTGCGTGTTCAGAGAGGATGCATCGCTTATGGCTGTAAGTAGTGACCAATCTTTCAAAGAGCCACGGGGCTGATTCAGCAACGCTGCTTTTCTGAAAGAGTTGGCCCGTGCGTGAAAACGACCTTAGGAGTTTGTTGTGCTGCTCTCACTGAGAGAGAGAGAGAGAGAGAGAGATATATATAATATATAAATACACGCGATATTCATTCTCCTCCAACCTACTAGCGATGGCCTCCAACCTAATAGCAATTATATAATACTATATATATATATATAAATACATCTAAATATAAAGCAAAACAAAAACACACACACACACACACATATATATATATATATACAATATATATATATAGCGCTATTTCAGCCTGTGCATTCAAGCACTGCCCCTGACTACCTTGGACCCATGGCGTTGAAAGATTGCACGGGGCATGAACAAGACACCGACAAAGCTGCTGAATGTAGACTCTTGATTGACAAAGGGGCACCACCCAAGCCTCTTCAGGCTTGCGGGGTTGAACTATCGCTGAAGCGGTGATTTTTTCAGATGGATGCCTTCAACGAACCACTCTCATCACTGAAACGCCCGCCGTGTCGGTCTGCTGTTCAGGTGTTGCCGCGCAACCTGCCGCTCAGCCAGCACAGGCGCGTCCTCGGCTCGCGATCCGCAGAAGGATTTGGAGCGAGGACGAAGTGGGGTCATGAGCGGCTGTTTTTTTCTTCTCCATGCGTGTAGGTTCTGGTTTTGTTGCGCCCTCGGGAGGAGCGGGGCTGAGGATTTCAAGTGGCCGGCACTGAGTCCGCCTCATAGCTAGCCTCCCGCGGATCTTTTTCTGGCTCAAGGGGTGAAGGATTAAGGTCCCAAGGTGGCGTCGCGACAGCGGATCAACACAGTTGGCCCCAGCCAAGGCGCTCAGGAGCCCAGCTGCCAACCATGTCCGGCCGCAACACGCGCATGGCGCAGTGGCTGGACTACAGGGTGCGTGTGACCATCTCTGATGCCAGGATGTTGGTGGGGACCTTCATGGCCTTCGACAAGTACATGAATGTGGTTCTGGCTGATTGCGAGGAGCTGAGTGAACATGCACATCATATCTCTCTTACACTCCGAGCTCACCCACATGGAAGTGGACCACTGACAACCCCCTGGTTTGTAGAGGAAAATGGTCCTCCGAGGTCATCCAAGGGGCCCTCTTCCACGTCCAGGGGTATGCTTCAGGGAGTGTAAGCATGGATTGCCAGAATGACATTGTTGAACATGGATTGCTAGAATGACATTCATCACCTATACCCGACTATGAAATGAACGCGCCAAGGCGCTTTCCATTTCAACGTCCACCCCCAACACAAGACGTCTTGACCGTGTTGTTTTACACGTCTCCTCCTTTCGAACGCCAGGAGTTCCGAAAGATCAAGTCCAAGGGGCGAAAGGATGAAGAGAAAGAGGTGAAGCGAACCTTAGGTTTTGTCGTCCTCCGTGGCGAGACCATTGTCTCCTTGATGGCCGAAGCCCCACCCCCCACGGGACCCAAGAAGCCGGACATCCAACCAGGCCCGGGCCGTGGACAGGTCGCCGGCCGCGGCATGCCGGCCGCGCCCTTGAGCTCGGCGCCCGCCGGCCTCTCCGGCCCAGTGCGCGGCGTGGGCGGTCCGGCCGCGATCCAGATGCAGCCGAAGGCGCCGGCGGCGCTGGGCGGGGCGCCGCCGGGGATGCCGCCGGGCTTCCCCGCGCGGCCGCCGGGGATGCCCGGCATGGTGCCGCCAGGCATGCCGGGGATGCCACCAGGGATGCCTCCGCCAGGGATGCCAGGCATGGGACGTGGCATGCCGCCCATGGGACGCGGAGCATGAGTGGAGCATGAGCCGATCAGAGTTTTGGTTGATTGCTTACGGTAGATTTCTAATCAATCCCAATGACTCAATGATGTGGGCACATTACATACCAGCATATCCATTCAACAAGACTTGCTTGACATACTGATCGGCAGTCGTTCCGCAGCACTTAGATGTTACAATAATCCAGGTGTGAGAGGCAGCTTGACGCGAGAGAACATGTGCAAAGGAGAAAAAGAGAGACGTCCTGCGAACCACAAGACATTATAATGGTTTGTCAAGCTCTCCCCAACGTTTTTGTAGCTTGCTTTGGCAAGAATATGCTTTCCATAGTCCAACTGGTGCATGTTGAGTGCTCGGGCCTTTCCTGCAATGGTTGCAGGACGAAGGATGTCGTAGGGAGCGTTATTCCTTCATGTTTGAACAAACATGCACAGAACCTGTCGTAGCCCGGAATCCATCCTTGGGGGTTCTGCATTTTGAGTTGACCCCGATTCCTGTAGGCAGCCCTGCCTGCTGCTCAGTCGGATGCCGAACAGTGTGTTGGGCAGCTGGCACGGGCGCCCAAGGGATGGTGAGCCCGATTTGAGTGCCATGCTTGGGGGAGAAGGGTCAGTTGAGGGATTCCAAGGATGCTTATCCTTTGCGATGGTATTTCTCTGATCTGAGCACCCCATATATAGCATTCTTTTTAAAACGGCCCGGCACCGGGCACCCGGGTCCATGGCGCGAAGGAGGTGATCCGGCGAAGGGTGGAACGTGCCACCCTCTTGAACCGTCAACATGACTGGTCCCATGTGGGGGGGGGGACCGGACCGGTGGTGTCCCCTAAAGTGGTAATAACATCTAGACTCTAGACTAACACCTATCAGTCTTACAACACGTGGCATGTGGAGAAGTTCAGGGGGCGCCCCAATCACATCAGGCGCGCTGGCGTGAGACGACCTTCCGTGTAGCACGGAAGTCAGGCCCACATCGCCGTGAGCGGCTGCTCCCACGCCACGGTGGGCGGCTGCTTGGCTGTGTTTTCGGGTGGTTGGATTGTTCACCCAAGCCCAAGCCTAAGGGACAATCATTTGGCACAGCTGCCTCAGCACAGCTGAAAGCCGGTTTGGAAGTTGAGGGGAAAGACATATGGCATATGCGCCCAGCGTAAGAATCATTGGTGAGGACTTAGTTGATGGCCACGTGTTGTTAGCATTCCTGATGCTGCCTTAATTCTTGAGTCGCTCAGTGAGGTCTGTGTTCTTTGAGCCACTTGGCTCCAGATCGGTCATGAAACTGAAATCCAGTAGAGCTGGGAGGATTGGAGGAAGCTTGCATGACTTGCCATCTCTTGGTTGCCGGAAGCTAGTATGGTTGAGAGATGTTTAACAGTCAGATTTTAAAGATTATCACTAGCCTGCAAGCCGCTCCCGCCATGTTCCGCGGCTTTCCAGCGTGCCGCTTGGGTGCCACATGTGTGATCCGCCCCCTCCGCCTGCCCGCATGCCACAGACCCGCGCATGTGGCAGGGGTGGCGCAGGTGGTGCGGGTGGCACGGCCCGTCCCCGGGCTGATTGAGCTGATCAAGGGGAATCGCGAGGGTGATGCAGAGGCAGCGGTGCAAGGGGCTGAGGTGAATGACATGGATGAGTTCGGGTCCACACCTCTGATTTTGGCCGCGCAGCGGGATTGGGCGCAGGTGGTCGCAGAGCTCTTGGGGTGTCCCGGAGTGGATCCAAACCACCAAAACTTGTTTGGCAGCACCGCGCTGATTTGTGCCGCGGCCAATGGGTATATCAGCACCCTGAATGAGCTCCTCAAGGATGAGAGGGTGGATTTGGAGGCGTGACAGGAGGGTGGTCCATTCACATGTCGGGGGTGGACCCCCCCACATGTGAAGTAACATGAAGTAACTATGTTTTGCAAGGAGGGCTCGATCGAAACATATAAAAGCAAAGTGACATAGTCTTAGTCATAGTCGTGTTTGTTACTTTGTTATTCTTTCTTTGTCGCTTGCTGGTGACTCGCTGTGGATGCATTGCATGCCGCATGAAGAGAGGCCCCTGTAGTAGAGCGATGATCCGCCGCCGAACTTGTGGGGTAATTTGTCAGGGTGCAGTGGGTCCAAACTCGATTCACTAGAGTCACCTATCCTGCGTGCTCCATATCAACCACGTTCTGACCCTCCTGGGTTGTTACTCCGCTGGGCTGATGTTTTTGGGTCACTGGATGCTGACCGTGCCCCGTCCCGTGCTTTCGCGCCCCGTTCCCGCGCCTGCCGTGCTTGGTTTGCACCGTGGTCAGGTGGCCACTCGGCTGGGGCAGACGGCGCTCTTCAAGGCGGTGCTCTTTGGGCACATGAACACCACGGAGCGGTTGGTGGAAGCGGGCGCCCAGTCAGAGGCGTGTCCCACCTCGTCCGATGGTTTCATGTCCTCGGTGTTGGACCACCGGAGAGATGGGCGGGGTGGTGTCGCGAGGCATCGTGAGCGTGGAAGGTGACGAGGACAGACGAGGATTAGACGTTGGGATTTCTTGGCACACTGGGCTGGACAGGGGTGAAGAGAAAAACAGCCAAGTCATAGCCATTCTGGTTAAAATGCCACTTCCCCAGTCAGCGTTTGGGTATAGCACCACAGTCCCAAGCACACGCATCCATCCGCCAGGTGACGAACAAGATGGGGCAAACCATCCTTGATGTGGCCAAAGATGAGCACAAGGAGCATGTCCAGAGGCTGTTAGCGCAGAAGACACAAGATCTTAGGTGAGGAGGATTGATCCAAAGGCAGTGTCAGGCTCGAGTTCCAGCCTGCCAGGGGGTCTATTGGCATTGCTAGGAATGACTACCAATGGCCAACATCAGTGATTCCTGGAGACCCTTTCCGTTCTATTGGCAAAGCAGATAGAAACGGTTTCCAATACATGTTGAGTGGGGATCTGGGGATCTATATACTTTTCTACCTATTTAGAGTACAAACAAGTATATACGTGTTTTGGTAAAAAGCAACTTTGAATGGACGTCGATTTCTCTGAGACTCAAGCCGCCTTGGAGTGATCCTCACGCCTTTCTCTGCATTGATGGTCGCGCAGAGCGCGGCCACGGTTGACGTTTCCCTGCCTCGCCTTGCCCTGTGACGTGGGGTGGGTGGGCGGACAGAGAGCCTAACAACGGCTTGAGGAGTGATGGCAGAAAATGACGCGGGTGGGAATTGGAGCGGCTTAATTGTCGTTTGAGCTTTTATTTGGTCCGACCCGCGGCTCCTTCCCCGGCCTGCCCTTCCAAGTGAACTTGCGGTTTTCTACCCTGAGTTGTCCTGTGCCAAGGGCGGGTCATCCATGTGAGTCGAAGCCAATGACCTTCGAACACCATGTTTTGAGACACTTTTTTCACCAACACCCTGGACGTTTTAGCTGATGTTAGATGAAATCCTGCAGTCACACCATCACACCACTTGAATCCACATTGTGTGTATAGTATAAGAGTATATATCGATTTTTTTCTACCCAGCTTGGTTGGTTGGTTAGATGCTTCGTGGTTTGTTCTTGTGAGCTTTCCGGAGATCCCCGTTGGACACCCACCGAGACCCAGGCATCGTCCGGGGGAACTTCACGGCGAACGGCCAGAATCATGGGAGGCCGACCTACCGGAAGGCGGGGACCGTGCGTGCGTCGGACCTCCGGTTCAGCTGGGAGAGAACACTCTCCCTTAAGGGGACGAACTGCGGAAGGCAAGTTTTGGAGAAGGTGGATCCTAAACTGGATGGGTTTGGTGCATCTTTCTTGGCCTGAAGGCCTGAGTGACCTTCAGGGGTTCTCGGTCAGTTCTCTGACGTCTCCAGGGCCGCCTGCAGATGCTGCATGAAAAGGCCTCAAGTGGATCCCGGTTTGGATCCTGACCCCCCCTCATCTCATCTCATCTCATCTCGGTTTTGCGTGGTCGTTGCCCGGCCCATTGACCTCGGTTTGCCACCATGGTCCCACCGGTCCAAAGAAGGGCTGTCACAGCACGTCTCAGCACACGCGCTCACCGGTCCGGCCAGGATCAACAAGTCAACGGCTTGGACGTGATGCTCTACTACTGGGATGAGCCACTGGGCCTCAGAACCTCGGGTTGGTTGGTGTTCTCATGTGTCATGCGTAACAATGGAGGAGTGTGCACATGTCTCTAGTGACTCTAGTGCTTTGTAGTGAGACGGGCAGACAGTCGGCTTGGCTGTTGGCTCTTCTGGGGCTTCAGCCACTGTACAGGCCCCCAGATCAGGAGGGACCTTCCCTTCCCTATATACCAAAGAAGTGGGATCCGCCTCAGCTCCCGGAAGCACCCTCCACCTGATCCCTGCAGTCCGATCTTCAGTAGCACCCACCATTCGAGGTCGTTCCGGTGCCGAGATTTCGGATCCTCCCAGTCGAAGGATCCAACGACCGAGGCGAGACGGGCCCAACTTTGCCGGCTGGTGGAGGGGGTCCTCAGAGTCAGGGGGGGCGAAAAGCGGTGGCTGATGCGGATGGCTTCAATTCAAAGGGCTGAAGCCGAAGACGAAGTCACCGAATGGAGCAGGAAACAAGATACAAGCTTTTTAACTAGAGGCGCAACGCAACAGTCTGACACGGACATTCTGGGTTCTGCTGCTATGTCGGCGTGACAGACACCAGACACCAAGCTTTTGTTGAGCCTTCCTTCTCGGAAAAAGAGCGGTGGTACTTCGCTTCGATGGCCAATGTCATGGACCTCGACCCTCCCCCACTCCTCACCAGCCGACCCACCTTCTAACACCGAACACGAGGACGAGGATTGGACGGATGGGCGGTCCGGACCGGTCACCGGACCGTCGCCGCCGTGCCGAGGTTCGGCCCCAAGGTGGGTGGTGACCAAGTCTGGGCCTACCATCCCAGCAGATCGGCGATGACGCCCGGACGCCCGGAGCTGTGGGAGCTTGGCCGCCCGAGACGGCCGCCGGGACGGCCGCGGGAGGTTCAGTGGTTTTTTTTGTATTTTTTCCCTGCTCGGAGCTGTAGGAAAAAGGTGCAGATCCATGAGAAATGGAAATCAGACCACCACAACAATCCGAGGCTTTCAGGGTGTGTTTCTCTGGACTCATTTTTCATTTCTGGGCAGTGCCGAGCCAAAATCTCATCTAATCCACAGGTGGGTGGTCCCCCGATTGATTGTCACAACATCAGCGTGAAAGCTGCTGCTGGAAAGCGCAGTGAGCCCAGGCCTCCCCTACGCGGGTGGAAGGTGCCCTACGATGGCCCCGTGGACGACAGCTTCGTCATTGGCGCTGCGTCGACGGCACTAGTGCCGTCCATCCAGAATCCAGTGCCCGTCACGCAGGTGCGAGGGGGAGGGGTGGAAGTGGAATTATTGGTGGACGTTCGATGACGTTCGGCCGGTCAAACGATGAGCGATTGGCGATTGAGCAAGGACACTGTGTAGGCCCTTGGGGAAAGTGATGGGAAGTGAGATTGGTGGAGGCAGAGTTCACAAGGAGGTTGGACGTGTGTCTGGTTTTCGCTCGGGGTGGAGCCGATTCCGCCTGTTGGTTACGGCCGAGCTATCACCATCAAGTGCACCCGGGTCTCATCATGTTCAACCTCCCAAGACGAACGCATCCCTGTACTCAAAATTGAGTTGGACTATGGACGAAGAAGCCCCTCCATATGAAACACTGCATGTCAGAGCAGAATATGTGAGCCGCCTGCAATCCTTGAGAAGTTGCAAGAGCCAAGGGAAGCGAAAGGCACCCAAAAGCAATGCCCTAAGGACGAACATGAAGGAAGTATCAACATGAAGGATGGACATTGTCCAAGTGTATTGATCTAACATGTGTTTTTTCTTCAAGAGTTTCCTGATCTGAAAGATAATTCAGATAATTCCATGTAGTCACGAAAGCTAGCATCAGCTAGCTGGAGTTGCTCTTGCTTTAGCAAGTCAAGGGCTCGCAGCCTCGAGAATCATGAATCACGTGAAAACTTCACGTGTAGGGGGGGGCCCCCCCCCCCGCGGGTTCAACTCCCCCCTGGGACGCTTCCGGTACGTGCTATAGTGCTATGTTTAGGTGGCAGGTGAAGTAGGCCACTGTTTGAGTTTGGAAGGGGGGGCATGAAACATGAAATTTACGCGAGGGTTCAAGGCTTCAATGATGAGCATCACGGGAAGTCAGAAACCAGGCGTATCAGATACACGTGCCTTTGAGCTTCCTTCGGCATCTCAGTGCATATGGCTGACACTTCACTCGACAAAGATGCTCAAACAAACATACATAAGCCAGGTGTATCTGATACGCCTGGTTTGTGACTTCCCGTGATGCTCATGATGCTGCGTTGCTTTTCTTCAGTCCCTCATTACATATACATGACGATCCAACAGCAGATTCAACAAGCTCACATGTTCATGACATCGACATCGATAGAAGAAACCAAACAAATCATGCAAGCAGCTTTGTTTTGCCTCTGGGACACCTCTTGGGCACCTCTTATGGCATCCACACTGGTTCAACTCCTCCGTGGAGGTTTTGGGATACAGCGCAACAGATTCAACAAGCTCACAGGTTCGTGAACACATCGGATGCATCGAACAGTGTGGCAAAGTCCAGCCACGCTTCCTTAATTATCGGGGACTTCAATTCTAAGGTTGGCTGTGTCATTGCTGTTTGTGTGTCTTACATGTTCACAACCTCATGAGCATTTGCCTCACTCCGCTTGATGTCCCACCAGTCCGGATGCACCCCTGCTAGCTTTCGTCACCTACCCTCGGCCTCAAGTTCCACATGTAAGAGGCAAGAATTATTTCCTGTGGGGCCCAAACTCGGGGATTTGAAGCGACACCCTTAGCAATGCACAAGTGATACCCCAAGCGATGCCCTCAATCACGCCAGTCCATCACTTGCCCACTTAAACATAATTAGGTTGGTGTGTAAGCAACAACTATGTTGCTTAGCTGCTGTAAGCTTGTTGAAGGCTTTTAGGCTACTGGCTGCTCGCAAAGCTCTTCTAGTGTCAGCTCAGCTTTGATGTTACCTTCGACTCGAGTGAAATTTGTTTGTCTTGGTTGAGTGCTCGTGCTCATGCATTTGGTTGAAGCCTGAAGTCTAAAGTTGTCCGAAGCTGAGGGAAGTGATGGCCCCTCCAATCTATGTGATAGCATATGGCTTAAGATTGAACAAGGATTTTTGACAGCAGCACTTTCGAGAAAACGGTTTTGATCCTCCAGGATACCGGTGGGTGTTTGGGTTCATCCAACCCGTCCAACACACCTCGGCCAGGCGGGGACCCCCACGTTCCCGCCCACGGCACCCGGCGCCGGAGACCTGAGTGTGGTTCTGTATTTCACCAATGGATGGGACATGCCCCGTTTCAGGGTTCTCTATCAAATGCCTCAATCAATGGTCCAAGTCGTCCATTGATTGGGTATGGGTGGGACATCTCGTCTTGCGGTTGAAGAGCCCAGAGCAAAGGCGTTGATGGGACACAGAAATTGCTACCAAGCCCGATTCCAATCCAGTTTCTGTTGGAAGAACAGGTGCGGGCGAGATTGTGCAACATACTGTGTCATTGTCAATGGCCACAGCTGGGGGCAGCTGAGCCACCTTCGAAACGAACATGCAGAGGTAGCTGAGTTGAATGGAGAAGAACAGACCCTCAAGAAGTTGTTCACGAGCATTCGAAGTAGGGAGCGTGACCAAGTGGTACCATACAGCAGTCATAGTGGTTCTGGTGGTGGAGGAGCAGCAGGACTGGTGGTGGTCATTCTTGCTGCCGTCGACCCTCCTCGACTCACCATCCTCGACTCAACCGAGGCCGGAAGCAAGTTTGAGGCCGGATGTTTAGATGTGGGATGCGATGGGTGAGAGGCCATGTTTTGGGGATCAGAATGTAGTGAGGCACCCGGAAAAAACCATCCAAGAGGTGCAAAGACGCAGGAAAAGCCGGACCAGAAAAGGGTCAACGTGGGCCGTGGTCTAGTCTAACACTTCTCCGACCAAAGGATTTGCTTCTGTACATTTACCTAGGGGACACCACGGGTGTTCGCCCAAAACTAGGGGTTTCCCGTCGATTTTCCCTTAAGACCATTTCCCTTGGGCTCCCACCCCCGGCCTTGGGCGACCGACCTCTCGCCTCTCGCTCCCAGGCCATCGAGTTCCCTCCAGCGGCCCCGGCGATTCCAGTGGGAGCAGAAGCGCAGAGGCAACATCTCCAAGCCCAGATGCGACTGCAGCACGAACAGCAGTTCCTGGGCCCGCATGAGAAGAGAAGAAGAGAACACCGAATGAGAAAACCAAGCATAGGAAAGGGATCAGATGATTTAGGGCAGAGGACAACTGGATGCAACGGCTGGGTGGCCACGGGGGTGGCCTCTCCTGCTCCAGCGGGTCGATTCGACTGGATTGCGATGATGGTTGAAATGCTTTTGGTGCGATGATGGTTGAAATGCTTTTGGTGTGCGAGGGTTTGGGATTTGCGATGTCGGCCTCCTCCACCAGCCGGGCAACATTGCTAGATTTTGAATGATTTTGACACATATAAGTTTGGCTTGAAGGACTAAACTTGAAGATGGGTTCGAACGAGAACACTGGGTGGTGACCTCCGCATACTCAGGCGGGCAATGCAGCAACAGCGTGCAAAGCAGGAGGAGGAGGTGAAGCTGCAACAGCAGGACAGAGCATAGTGGCAAAGTGACAGATGGTACTCATGTATATAGCGAAGTCCAGATTGGGCACATCGGGAAGAAGGGGATGGCCGATATGGCAGAGTAGTCCATATGCCATTAGGATTCATTAGGCACAGTAACTCCCGATTCTTGGGTTGCCCTTGCATGACTGCGAAGCTCTGGAATGTTTGCGACGCAGCCTGCAGCGGCTTCATTAGTTGTGACGGATGGGTTCCGATTCTGGGTCAACTTCTGGTGTGCATAGTTACTTTTGGTTCAACCAACATGGATGGCCCTATCAGTAGTTATCCTAGATTTTACGTTCTTTTTGTTGGGGGGTCCATTCAGCTCACTACTACTAATTACAGACAATTGGCGCCCAACATGTCCATATCCAGCGAAGGTAAGATTGTCGGACGTTTTTCGATCATTGATCCTGCCCGCTGCTCAGGAGATGGAAAAGAGGCGCCAGGAACAGCAACGGCAAGTGGCCGAGCGAAAGAGGAAGGAGCAGGAGACCCCTGGTTGATGCAAACAACATGCATCCTTCAAGCGTCTTCAGCTTCAAATCTGCAGTTGAGACGTTGTTGGGCCTATCGAGACACCAGAGTTGGAACTGGTGCCCAACATGCACGGCACCAAACTCACCTCTCGCCGCGCGTGCACCGGACCGCACCGACGTCGCGCAGGAGGCGGTGCAAATCATCCGCAACTCGTGCCAAAAAGTGCGAGTGGCCAAGGACGCCGGCGGAAAGCTGCGTTCGTTCGAAAGCCCCTCCCGCCCTTCTGAAGAAAGCCACGGGGGTTGATGGCGAGTGGACAGGTTGAGGGTCTATTTCGCTTGGGCCACTTCGGTTTGCTGGCAAAGCCATTGATTTGATGTAGCATGTGCATATGGATGCTGAGGCATGAATTCAAGATGTGACACCCCGAGAAAGAAGCCGTGAGTCTGAGTCTCTTCTTCCCGTGTGATTCCCTCGTATCTTAGTGACCTCTATTTCTGTGTTCTTTACAAGTTTGCAAAGATCAACGCGTACGGTTTGGCATTTGATGTGAGGGTGAGTCAGCTCCCTCACAACTTCGATCATGACCACTGCCAGGCCACTGCTACTGAAACATCACAGCAGCAGTGACAATTGATCGCATGATTGTCACCACCAACCAGCCACAGACCGCCGTAGACTTTTTACATGATCTATTCCCCGTCTCAACAGAACCTCAATGACAGCAAACAGAATGACCGGCCGTTGTTTCCGGCTCGTCCATGATCTCACACAACCGCATAGGAGGACACGATTCAGCTGGCCGAGCAGGAGTGCCACCGGGGCATGGAGTCTCACGCTCACGGGACGATGTGGCCTAGAAGTCCAGTTCACTGGGGTACCCCACAGACGAAAGTAAAGCCACTGGCAAACTACAATTCTTTGTTGGTCTGCCACATTATTGTTGTTGTCCACACTTTCGCTTGCAATATACTTTGCGCCAGTTGTACTTTCGATTTGTTGCATGCACCATGTACAACGAGGACTACACTGCTTCTTGACCCCCACAAGACCTTGAAGGCGCAACCCTCTGCCACCGTCAGCGGTCGAGCAATGTGTGAGGAGCTTTTTCAGGTCATGCATGCTCAGCTCAACAACTGTGGCTTTCAGATGCCGAAGATCAGAGAGGCCCTGCGAACGACGGGTGTTCTGGGCATGCGGAACGGCGTGGTGGGGCTTCGCAGGGTGTGTGCAGCGCAAGGGACAGGCCCAAGAGCTGGGCGATGGATTTGGAGTGTCCAATGAAGATGCTCCATGCGCAACAGTGGCGACTTTCGTGTAGCAACGATGACACAGATCCCAGCAACTTGTTTTGGTGTACTGTTGCCTAAATGACCTTCCATTCGGACTGACCAGTTGTCATATTTGTGTTTTGCTGACTGCCTGACATGACTTACACACTTATATAGGTGGTTGGAAAGCACCCTAGTAGGCTTTCACTTTCTGTGGTTGCTTTCAGCACTTTCTTGATCTTCGTTCTACTGTCCTCAGTCGCATATGTCGTTGGCGGGTTCCCGGCCATTCTGGACGCTTGTAACAAGTACCACCTTCGTCCAGTGGCTCGTGGTCCGTGGCGTCGGACACCGGCACAGCTTTGCGGCGCGTCCGTGGGATTGGGACACCGTTGTTGGGACTTCCCTCTAGGTTTTAACTTTTTAGAACTTGCCTTGAGAATTGGTTGGTGTGAAATTGCTGAGATCGGTAGTCTTGGCCGGGATTTTCCAACCTCTTGGCCAAGACGGAAAGGGTGGGTTTTGGTCGCCCAAGCAGGTCTTCCTCTTCACCCAATGGACCTCCCGGGTTCCAAACCGGTCGGCAGGAGTGCGAACGAGTGGTGGAACAGGCGAAGAAACGCCTCGAAGATGGGCAACGGCAGAAGATCATCGAGGAGGAACGGAAGGCGAGGAGGAGTCGACGTCCGATACGATGCGAGGATCGGATTCCGACCAGCGGGTCGCCCGTGGCGTGTCTTTTTGGGTCCCTCTTCGCGGCGGCCAGGCGAGCATCGCGTTGCGGCGTTTGACCTATTTTTTCGCTCTGGAGGATGGTGCTTGGTGGGTTGCTGGTGCCCCAAAAATTGCATGCGGTGATTCTGGTGCTTGGGCGGGGAGAAGCTGGGTGCATTCTTGTGCCGTGTCTTGGATGGGAAGTGGTCCTCATGAAACTCTGGGCTCGATGTATGTTTTGGGGGCGGGCTTTTTCAACCAAATCCGTCGGCTCTCGTCCGTTGGGCGAGCCAGACTGCCTCCCCACCCAGCCCGCCCCATTTGAATATCTTGCATCAGGGTCTTTGTGTGTGTGTGTACGGGTCAGGACTGATGTCGAGGACCTTTGAAAGAGTGGGCCATGATTGGTCCTTTTTACAAAGAAGATTTGCTATATAAGCAATGTAACGAGGATCCTCATCGCAAAGTCGTGGAGCTTTTTCAGAGGCTTCACCATCTGGGATGTCGTGCCGTTGGCGGCATGGCACTGGTTCAGCGCCCCTGGAGCAGGTGAGAATGCTGGAGCAGGCAGACACCCTGGTTGGGGCCTCAGAGGCCAAGGCACAAGGTGGGCGACACACTCTAAACCACTTACTTCGTCTATTTCATCAGGATTGCATGAGCCATTGGCCTTAGAGCTCCACCCACTCTAAGCACTATAGGAGCTTCAACAAAAACCGGCGACTTCGGAGTTGACGGCACCAACTCCAGAAGGTTGGCGAAGAAAAAGCAAAAACACACCCAATGATACCCATTCTCAGGAAAACTCTATCACAAGGTGTTTCTGTTCTCTCTCTCTCTCTCTCTTTCTTTTTCTTTCCTCCTGCCACTGGTGCTGCCGTGCCTCAGTGACCCCAAAGTTGAATTCGTTCGCACCTCGGTGTCCTCACCTTCTTTCGCCCCCGCGAACCCCACAAAACCTCGCCCACCCCCACCAAACCTCGCCCACCGCACCCGGCCGGACCACCCGAGTTGAGCGACTTCAACATCAAGGCCGAACGACCGGACGACGAGACATTGTGAGCACTTGTGAGGAGCACGGACGTGAGACATTTGACGCATCACAATGGATTCAAGTGACGGATTCAAGTACTCAAATGGATTCACAACATTTGACACCTCTTGACATACGTTTGAGGTGATGTCTCCTGCTTCATGCTTCATCACCCCCTTTCCCTCATGGATTCACCTTCGGTTTCACGGTGAAGGGCGGGGGGTTGGGTGGGACGACTCGGCAGGTAGCAGCTGCTGAAGAGGCAGTTGGATGCCTAGGGGAGTGACGGGAAGTGTGTCTGGCTGGTTGCTGTGGTGATTGCAATCCAGATCTTGGACCACGGGCTCCGAACGGGGCCCGTCTCAAGTCTCAAGCATGTTCGCAACCAGCAGGACATGGAGAGTGCAACCAACATCTTCGTCCACATGCTTTAAAAAAAAGAGTTGCTTGTCTAGCCAACTGTCTGCGGCTCACAAGGTCCATGTTGGTTCGTTGCTCCCAGAGTTGCTTTCATTGCTTTAAGCTTTATGTGCACGGTCCTTTTCCGGTGGCTGCGTGAACCCCACGCGCTTGGTGCCCCGTGCGTCGAGCTCCCCGAGGCGAAGATGCTCTCGGAGAAGGCGGAGCCGTGCGGGGACCCGACCAACGCCGGGAAACGACGGCGGGAAACGACGCAAAACAACGGCGAGGCAAGAGAACCTGAAGATCACCGGAGGCAGTGGAAGGTGGGATCCCAGTTTAGAAGCATCCCGACATCGCATCCGACATAGCAATGTAGCAATGTAGGACCCTTGGAGATGGCTGGAGCCTCCGCCGTCCCATGTTCATCGCAGTGATGGCTTCTCTCCTGTCACTACGGTGCTCCCGGTCTTGTCACCAACCCCCACGAAAAGCACGTGTTCGTCTCAAAACGGCGGCGTTCGGCGTTCCTCCGAGGCTCACCGTGGTGGACAGCGTTCTGGAGCTGGGTGACCAAGTGGAGGAGTCCAATCAGCTGGTGGAGGAGGCACGGGGGGAGAAAGGCCCTGGGAGGCCTGAAACAGGGTCTGGAATCACCAGGTGCGCCCAAAAACACATCATGTGAGTCGTCGTCTGGATGGGTCGTCGTCTTGATGAGTTGACTAAAAATCAGTTGGATGGCAAAGCTCTTCACTTTCTTCATCTAAGAGTCTACCGTGCACAGTGTCTACCGATCTCTGCGTCCGACTCCGCTTGGGACGTGCCAGGCCCGGAAGGAGGTGGACGAGCGGATCAAGATTTGTTGGGCACCTGGAGTGGTGAAGAGTCGCCGAACTGGAAGATTCCAGGTGGTTTATGGTCATCATTAATTTTCATCAGAATACATTGCTAGAATGAACATTCATGATTGTGCAGAAGCTTTCAGAATTGCTATCAGCCAGAAATATACTTCTCAGCCAGGCCCGAAGAAGCATACTTCCTGATCCACATTGGCTTTCACTGAGGCCATGAATATCTCCAGGAGTATCATCTCTCCATGAAGGTGCCCGACATGCTGGTGGCCTTAGATTGGGCACCGACACCCGTAGAAGTTCCAAGGCTGCTGGTTTGATCGGAGGTGGTTTAGAACCCACGGAAATGCCAAACGGCAGCGCTCTTGAGGCTACCCGGTACAGGCAATGAGTGTTCAAGGTGACCTAGGGCGACAGTCGCCATCACTGAAATTCGGTTCCAGGTGCAGGTGGCATTCCAGCTTCCACCTCCTGCTCCTGACAGCATCTTTGCCAATTCCGCCGCTTTAGGCCCAACCACCCCCAAGCAGCGGTGGTCAACTCGAACTTGCAGAAGATCTGCGAACGGCTTCGGGATGCGACCAACAACAAGGCCGGTTCCCGCTGGGTGGAAGACACGACGCAGAGGACGCCTTGGACGCGGAGCGGGTCGGAGGGCCATGAGGAGCTGCTTGGAGTGACGAGGGTGAGCATCTCTTGGGGCAACCAGGGATGCGAAAAACAGCACCTTAATTATCTCAAGATTAGATTGACATGGGAGGACTCCGTACACAAGGGGGGCTGAAATCTGATTTGATTCCAACGCGCGAATTAACGCGCAAATTTCGCTTGGGGTGCTTTTTCTTGCTGGTGATTTCCTTAGACTTCGTTCATAGTTCAGCGTGCAAGCCGTAGCCTGCGTTTTCACGTTCCCAAAAACCGCTCACCCTTGCGGTACGTCAGTGTCCGGTGTTTCTTCAGGATGCCATCATCGTGAAGTGCTCCAACACCCACAAGAAAGCCCTCAAGAAGAAGGAGGCGAGAAGGGTTTGAGGGCATCGCGGGTCGGTCATAGCCACCAATCATCGCGGGTCGGTGCAGGGCGGGCCCACTGCATTGCAAGTAGACAATTGAAAGCACAGGTGGAACACAATGCATCTATCTGGGCACGAGGCGAGTCACACGCTGGCAGGCAATGGCAGTGATGGAGGAGATCTCGGCGAAATTTAAGCAATATGACAAGAACAACGACGGTTTCCTCAGCAAAGCCGAGGTCATCAGTTACTCAAACAAGGACGGGAGGGCGTTGTCTGCTGGTGGAGACTCCCTGAACGATACGTTTGGAGGCTGCTTGAGAGAGGGTTGGTATGTAATCTGAGCCCGCACCAATCTCTTTGTTCTAGCGCCCGCCTCACATTTTTGGTCTTTCATTTGTTAGTTGGGCTGTCTTTTTGCACTAGGCGTGCCAAAACTTCGGGAATCTTGGTGGATGGTTTCTAGAAACTGCGAGTATTTGCGGTAAAAAGGAGATGGACCCCCTTAAGCGTCCAAACTCGGTGCACCTTGGAGCAGGAGTTTGGCTTCAAATTGGGAGATGCGGTTGCCCTTCAGTTGATCAAGGCGCGCCCGAGCGGTTCATGTGAGGCGCTTAAGAGGCCACCGATCACTCAGGGTTCCCTGACGGTTCGTGAACGGCTTCCGATCAAGGCTTCCGGCTTCGAGGCGAACGAATGCTTGCGTCGGTGAACCAGTATCAGTTTCCCACCTTAGGTTTCCTGAAATAATTCGATACTGTGTTTATGTATATAATTGTATATATATATATTTATGTTTGTGGTTATGTGTGTGTGACAATAATATAGTATATGTATAAAAACATATCACCCCCCATGTTCTTCCCCGGTTGTTACAAAACATAGAATCCGTGGGGAAACATGTTGATGCTTCCAGCGACTGCAGAAGGCCCTACAGGTTGGCGCCAAGGGCGTGCCGTTCGCTGACTTCCAACGATTGAAGGCGATGGGGTTTTGGATGCGTGAAGACCGGCATCAACACCGAGCGAATCGAATGAGAAAATGGTTGGGTATGATCGAATGGTTGGGATGTGGTCGACCCTGATAGGCCTGGTGAAGAAATTTCGTTTGCTGAAGACCCAAATGCATCTGAAGTGAAGATTAGCCAGCCTCGCCCACTGGCTGAGCAACCCCCTGTGCTGAGATATGAAGAGTTTGGCACCATCAAAAGGCTCAGGTTGGCAGTTACTCGCTTCGTACTCGCTTTGGAGGTAACTGCATGGTTCATGGGAGCATGTCGCCCGGCCGACCCACGGACCGCCTGCCACCGTCCCCAACGCGGTTTGTGGGGAGCCAGGTGCGCATCGGCTGCCTGCGGGAGCGGGTGAAGGATGAGGAGCGAAAGAAGAAGCGCGAGATCCGGGACAAGGAGCTGGAACACCTCAAGGCGCTGGCGGTTTGGGGATGAGCACGGGGTTGGTGGATGTATGAAGGATGAGATCCAGAACCCTCGCTGGCCGAGGTCCCTGCCAGTGAGTCTAGCTTTATAGTGACTAGTGTGGGAGTGTTTGTGGGTTTGCCATTTGCTGTTTCCGGTGTGGGTGGGAGCTTTGTTGAAGCACCCTGCCGAGACTTTGGGACGAATGGTGCGCGCGTCCGACGTGCTGGATCAGGAGCAGTTCAAAAGCGAACTGAAGTCCTTGGACGACACTGAGGAGCTAGACCAGGAGGTGAAGAAGGCTGGGCTGACCTGGACCTGGTCCGTGCTCCGAACAACGCGGACGTGGCTGGGTTAGAGAGAGGGATCAACTCATTCTGTAGCTCAGTAGTATGTGATGGGATTTGGATGGCACGATTCTGGGTCTTTCCTTTCTTGTGGGGGGTGATCGGGTTGAGGAGTTTGAAGGAGCGTGTTGTCCACCGGCGATCAGGTGGAGGAGGCCATGGGCAACATCAAGGTGGGCGGTGATCCATCCCGACACACCATGGTGGGGTGGGCGTTGACCACCTCAGCGTGTGCAGGTGTTTGTGACAACGGGGGTGAAGTTGTGAAAGACCCGCGGGTAAGCCAGGTGAGGTTGCATTGAAGCCTTTGTGGCAAGCCTGCTTGAGTCAATGAGGGGAACACCACAGTCCAGGTTTGGCGTTTGCATGCAACTGCGGGTGGTGGCTTGTGTTGGTTCTTTCGTAGAAACTCCATGAAAGACATATCAAAGTAGCAACCTCAAGCTCAAGTTCCTTCTCGGACCAAGCACAAGGTTATCAACCATTCTAAAGCGACAGGCGAGCACTAGGTGGCGAACTGTCGGTCGAACTGGTGCTGCAGGTCATGAGGCATCAAAAGCATCAACACACCGACTAGTCAACAGACGAGTCAACATACAGTAGTTTATAGTAATTTCAGAATAGATGGCATTGGCACCCCAAGAGGTCTTTTCGATGGGGGTCCATATAATAACCACGACATTGGGGATTGTGCGATTGGCTCTGAAACCACTAGAGACTGTTGTCCAAACCTCCAAACCTGGCAGCTAGCACCCCAGTTGACCCCTTTTGTTGGGGGGTTGAGTAGGCCTCGTGCGGTCAAACAGGAGAAGGTGGACACGACGTCCTCGTCGTCCTGCGATCACCGACCGGCGCGCACACACACACACACACACACACACACACACACACACGCACTGACAGGTCGAGGCGACGAAGACGCTCGGCAGGGGTGCAAGCAAGTACTGTAGGTGTTTTCTCCTGGCAGTTGTGGGTGTTGGGTCTCCAGGTTTGAGTGGGCTCTAGGGCCTCTAGGGCCTCCAGGCTTCCTTCGCGTCAAACTTGCACAATCAGCCTTGAGCCTTGCTACATCAGCTGTGTGTGGGGGTGGACGTTCTTCATCCATCCGCAGATAGATGCCGTATGAGTTTCAGCCATGGTTAAGTTCAACTGCTAATCACCTCATAGACACAGGGCATACATGCCCTAATGCATTCCTTTGCTGGTCATGCGGATGCCTTCATCCGCGGTCTTAATCACTTCTTCTGAGGGCGGCAGAGCTCAAGAGCAAATATGAAGAGGCGACCGTGTGGCGGCAGGAACTTGTGTGCATGGCGAACTCGTGCTGGGGGGGGTTGGTCGCTTGGACGCTTGGGTTCAGGAAACAGGTTTGGGCCACACATATGGGGTACGTGAAGGACCTGCACATTTACAGTAAGCAAGACTGGTGATTTCGTCGGAAAATTTCACTTCTAGACAGGTCAGCCACTGTGTCCTTCCTGGATTCGCCCAAACCAGGGTTTGCGCCGGGGTGCCTCTCTCTCGATTGAAGACCCACGCCCATTCGGTCTTTGTGGCTCAGAGGACATTGGTGTCATTCGGACGCCCCGGCCAGCTAGTGACAACGAGTGCAACTAGTGCCTTTCACAGCCATCCCAGCACTTCCACCCGGGCGGATTTGCGCAATACAGCGGGACCAGCCAGCGGCGTTCTGAGTGCTGTGCCATAGGCAATTCCCGGCCAGAAACTCCCCCAGTCATTAGGAGAACCCTCACAACTTTCAGCCAAGGTCCCAGGTCCTGAGCCCCTTTCCCCTTGTTTGGGGGGGTATTACCACTTCACGTCGACGCCCCCGGTGAGTGGCCGTCTTCGCCCCGGGGCCGAAGCCCAGCTCCGAACCGGTCGGCGCCACAGTGGATGGCGCCCAGACAACCACCGCCTCCGCCATGGCGACGCCGGCGCAGATCCAGCTGAACCGGCGGCTCACGCGTGCGGAAACACCCGCGGAGATCTTGGAGGTCCGGAAACACCCGCGTTGTGTTGGCTGAGGGAGGTGCGTAGATCACCCGCATCAGCCGTTGTTTGTGTTTTTTGGAAAAGGGGGACTCCCCGCTAATCACATCCAAGAGGTGGAACGATGATGAAAAAGGTAACCTTTGAGATTTTCCAGGGAAACTGAAGAGGTTGAGGTCAGTGGAAACCAGCTGGTCGATGTTGCAAAGGGACGGGAGGCTGGGACGGCTGACAGTGTTCGAACTCAGAGGGTTTGAACTATTTGAAAGATGCGACTCCTTGTTCACTCTTGGATTGCCTTTGGGGTCCGGCTGATCTCGTGGAAAAGCCGCGGAAGGTCTGGATATTTAAAGATGCCGTCGCCGTGTTGTGACCTCCAAGACAAGATGATCGGAAGGAGCTTCGTCACCCACCAATGCTGACGCAGGTTGTTCAGAAGGACTTGCAGCAGTTCAACTTGGTGCCTGGTCTGGGTGGGACTGGCGGCCTTAAACAGGAAGAGGCTGCCTTCAGCCATGTCACCCCATGTCTCACCCAAGTTTGGTATAGTATGGACCTTAGTGCTGTCAACTAGCCTGAAAGAGAAAGAAGAAGGGCCAAACACCATTCGCACTCCACACCGCTGAGGTTAATTGCACCACTGCCCTGCACCGCTATGCCAAAGCGATTTCCCAAGGCCTTTTGGTGCCGGCACGGTCCGCACATGAAACAAGTCCAGCCAGCAGACATCTTTGCCCTCGACCAGCGTGAAGAACAAGAGCTCATGATTCAGAAGTCACCTCCCCACCATGTTTTTTGGCCGTTTTGTCTTTATCGGAGCACCTTTCGTGACGCGGTCCGAAACTGGCTGGCACCAATCCTAGCCCCAAATCAGGACCCGGACCCCCAAATCAGGGTCCAAATGGGCGGGCCCGGGGCTTCCAACTTGGAACGGGTGGACCTTCTGAAGGACCAAAACATCCAGAGCTCCAGACCTTGAAAGCCAACTCCTTGAAATGGCCCCTTGGATCCCAAACCTCCAGCTCCAGACACTCCGCCCGCCCGGTGTGGAGGTGGCTGCGGACCCCACCACGACGCGGGTCAGGAGCGGACCCCCAAACCGCTGGGGCGGTTGCTGCAGCATCTGGCGGAGATGGTCGCCAAAGGGAAGGCGCGTGGGTGGTTTTTTCATGCGGAGGACGGTGCAGATGGAACTAAGTCAGGGCAGTGAAATGCGGAGGGCGGAGCGGCGTTTTCCGCCCCAGCAAGTTCAAGTAGCACGATGGCCAAAAGGATTAAGTATATAGATGTATATAGCTATATAGTTGATAGGCAAAGAGTAGGTTTTGTTTAGAGGGGCCGTTGCCACTCCATGTTGTAGTGGATAACTTTTTGGAGGGCGTCTATTTTGGGCAGAAGCTGTGCCCTCGAGTGGGGTGATCTGAGCTGCAGCAGCTGGCTCCTTTTTTTTGCCGATGAGATGCTACCAGGCGACCTGGTGGCGCTTTCGGCACCCTAAGTAGGCAGAATTCACTAGTCATGGAGCCTGCCAGAGTCTGCCACAGATCTGCCAACATGGTCTTTTCCCAGTGTGATGGGTGCAGAAACATGTCTGTATGGATGGATGCTTGCTCGGATGTCAGCCAGGTAGGATTCAGTGTCAAAGCTGCCCCGTAGCTCTTAAAAGCAATCTTCCCCTCTCTAAGATCCTGAAGACCTCGGCCATAACTTGTATATACTGTATGTACAGGTAGAACATGTACTGTATGTATATGTATGTATGTATATATATATATGTGTGTGTGTATATGCAACACTGTATATGTGTAGTACCTGTATATGTGCCCCAAGCTGAGCATAACCGATTCGTGGACCGGTCGCATGAATGAAGAACTGGTGAGTGACTTCGAGAGTCCCGAGGGGGGTCAGCATGTGACTCACATGCTTGCGATTCACATGTGCGGCACATGCACCAAAAAACAAAGATCACCGACTCAAAAAAGACCAGGATTGCACCTACTCAAGGACTCCAAGGATTGATCAATGAATCAACAACAATAATTCACTTACTCATGTTGCTTGTATGCTGGTCAAGTCCCCTGGTCCTTTGTTCTCTTGGTCCCTTAGTCCCCGGTCCCCTGATCCTTTGTGGCCTATTGTTCCTTTAATCAGGGGTTTCCAAGGGCTGTGGTTTTGCATTGCTTGTGTAACTTCTTCCTGCTTGGGTGTCACTGTTATTGATGATGTGCGCGGAGAGGCACAAATGCCCTCCCCCCAACCCTCCAAAATGTTCAAACCAGAACCGAAGCCAACCAAACCAATCCAAGCGAAAGCCAGCCCCAAAGCCAGCCCCAACCAAGTCCAAACTCCTTGCTTTCCCCCAAAAAGGCAGCCAAATCGCCAAAACCGAGCCTTTTCAGGGGACACTAGCCGCCCTCACCCCGACGCTTTTCAAGCCAAGACACAAACCATGGGATCAGCCACCGTGGCGGTGCTTGGCATCTCAACACCAACAGGTCAACATAAGAACCAAAAGCAAAGAAGAAGCTGCCAAAACGCCCACACCGTTGGATGATAGATAGGGGCCGCTTGAGGTCCGTTCTGATCGGATGTCCCTTCTGGCCGAGAACGGCACGGCCGGTTCCATTAAAGAGGTGGCTACCACGTCATCCAAACACATTTGGCGGCCACATCCAACAGCAGTGGAATGGATATGCCACCTGGCATTTGCCACGTGCTCCATGCTGATTCTAGATTCTAGATCTCTTGACTCAGGCAATCAGGTGTAGTGTAAAGTTCTTATTCTGGACCAGAAGGCTGGCCTCATGGGATTCTTTCCAGAATGCTTGATGGATGCTTTTAGCTCTGTTTGACCAGTTGGTCTTTCATTGGACTACATATCTCCACTAGCATGGATTACGCTTGTATTGGTTTGTCTCCCTTGGGCGCGCAGGCGGTACCTGCACAGAACTTGGCCAACGCGCTGTGGGCGTCTTGGCTTCTTAGTTGGAAGTTCAAAGAATAACGTGACCTCGGAAGAAGTCGAATGAGTGAATCTCTGTGAAACGGGTAGCGGAACCCGTTTCTGTCTTGTATTTTTGGAGGATCAATGTAGTGCAGGTGGTGGCGAGGTTGAGGCGATGGGTTGGTTGGATTTGGTGGATTTGCTCGCAGTGGTTGACCGAAGCATTTGTTACTCTGCTCTGTGGGCGTGAGACAAGCAGACGCGACAGATGCCAAAAGAACTCTCTTTTTGGTGCGCCTGAGTCGCAGAGTGATGGCGCAACCCCCTAGAATATATATATATATAGATATATAGATATATAGATACATAGATAGAGGGTTCTTCAGCGGGATTTGTTGAAACTTCCAATGGATGTGTGCTTTGGGCAGGTGGTGCTACTGATTCACAGTTAGTCTCTGGAAACTTCAGCAGTTCCGGTCGGATGGGATGTATCCAGAAGCTATTGGTTCAAGTTTTTTGAGACACTGACCAGCGAGAATCGCCCAGAGCCTCCGGCAAAAAGCCGGGAGGTGCTTTCAGCGCTTGCAAGTCATAGACTCATAGACATAGAGAGGCTTCATGCTGGAAGCTCGCTTGTCAGTGTCCACGAGCGACACCATATGTGGCCCCTTGGGAGGTCAGTTTGGGGGCGATCTGCGCCCGGGGCGATGTAGACCGTGGGATCGTGTTAAGAGATTTGTGGAATGGTGCTGGCATGGAAGTTTCTAAATCAATGAGTCAATGAGGCGTCCTCGAATCAGTGGGTTTTCGTCTTGGTATGCTGCCCATGACCGGCTTTCAGCAGGGATTTTTTGATTGTCGTGGGCACTCTTTTTGGTTGCTACTTCCTGAGGGAGACGTGGGAGGGGCATGGGCTGGATGTCTCAGCGGACCTGAAATTGGTAGATCCGGGTCCTTCTGCAGAATGAGCCAGCGGCAACAAACATGGATCTGTCTATTTTTTTGCCTGAGCTGTCCTCCTTCCTTTCTTTTCAAAGCCCATTGCAATCCAAGGTGAGGCCAAGTGGCTCCCATCAGACTCTGAGTCTGAGGATGACTTTCACACTGACTCCTGCTCACCCGTGGCCGGCCGAAGAGGAAGCCCCTTCATTTCTCGCAATGGAGTGAGGCGCCTGAGGCGTACGGCCGAGGTGATGTTAGAGGAGGTGCGGATCAGAAGCCTGTGGGAGCAGCACAAAGACGACCTTGGCATCCAGTTTCCAGGGGAGAAGCTGCATCCGATCCAGATGGCCGCACACCTAGGAGCGAGCTGGTGCCCCCCAAAAGTCGGAAATGTGAGGGGAACCTTGTTAGTGATGAATTGCTAGTTGTGTTTAGGCCTGGCAGGCGCTTTTTGTGCACACTCCATCACTGAACCTCACTGGCATGCATATCCGTACCCGCCCACTCAGGCTCCAATCACCATCTTGCTCCTTCCACGTAAACACCAACGCTGTAATTCCGCCATCTGGATCATTGTGGTGATGGTGTCAAACGCAAGTCTTGCCTGCTGCGTCCTCATGCTTGCTTGTGTTTGATTATGGTGATGATGGGACCCCCTACACTGTCGCACCGCAAAGTGTGTTTCTGGTGCCACGGAGGTGCCCCACAAGCTTCTTACTACTTGTTACCAGTAGTAATGCCAGGAGCTACCTAGTGGCAATGCCCTTGTTACTAGCAGCAAGGTGCCTTACTACTTCTTGACATGATTGCCCATGCTTCTTGAGTAGTTGATCGGCCACAGGCGAAAGACCACAAGAACTGGCAGAAGACTTCATTCCATCACCGTCCGGGATGTCGTCCGGTCCTATCACTTCCAAGCAACTACTAGCAAGCGACCCCCACAGGTCTCCAGCAGCATGTAAGTCTGCTAAGCTCCCGGCATCAGATGGATCAGGAGACCGGCGCGCGGTGTGCTTCTTGCTGCTCGATGGCGGGGATCCGCACACCAGCCTGCACAGTCGATCGCTCCTGGACCTGGCCACGGACGGTCGATCCGGTGGCGCACAGCAGGCACGACGGGAGTGGAGTTGTTGGCGGATGGCACACGGGAAACAAAACATCCGGTTGTCAGAGCATACCGTTGTCCACGAGGCCTCGTGGCCTCTTCGAACGTTCGGTCTCTTTTCTTTGATGGCCCCCCTGGCTCCCCAAATAAGACATGCAAGGTCATGAGGGTGGTCTTGGCACGTGGAGGGTCGCAGCTCCGTTTTCGCCAACAATTTTTGGAAGTCGCCTGAGGTCATTTCCCTCTTGAAGCTGCGAGCCGCACCCAACTGGGAAGAACTCTTGCTGGAGCAGTGGGACGAAGATGCCAATTGAGTTCTCTGTGTCTAGACTTCTCACCCAAAGTGTTTCCAACTTTTTGTTGGCAATGTCAATGGCAATGTCACCTTGTGCCATGAATCATGGCATCGTTTGTTATTGCCAGTCACCCTTTGCCATTGTACAGAATCAGTGGTCTGAGTCCATCGAACCTAGCCTCAATTTGTGTTGGGATTCGCCAGGGCTTGCATCAGAATTTTTTGCTTTCTCATCTACGCTCGTTTTCAGTCGCAGTAGCCACCGGTTTTCCGCTTTCTGAAGATTTGAAGCCTGGTGGCTCTGTGACCGTGGAGCTTTGACCATTCGCAGTCGCAAAGCAGGTACGTTCCTGTGCGCCATTTGTGCGCCTGCGCAGCAAACCTTTTAAGAAGCAGATGACCCAAAAGTGCGGCTCATTCAGGAAAGGTCCTCCATAACATGTTATACTAGGATCTCCCCAAACCACACACACACACACCCAAATTTGCACATGGCGGGTTTGTGTTTGCTCCACAGGCATCGATCTTGGCAAGAGCCTGGCTCCTAACCAATTCCTTCCCTGATGTGTAGCAGTTCCAACCCTGGAGCCAATCAGCCAATCTTGGGTTTGGTGGGAGAAAAACCATCGAAAGCTGCCGAGTTCAGCCGCCCTCGAATGCATGGGGCTTAAAACCGGGTTTGTTCCGGTCCCGACTCAAGGCCATTGAACGCCTGGGTCTCACCGCGCAGACGGCTGCGGTCTGTGCGGTCTGCAATGCTGCACGGGAGGCTTTGGCAGAGGAGCGGCAGATGTGGGGCTTCACCGGGCAGAATTTAGCCACTCAGACTGGGCCAGGTTGTGGGCTGAACTGATTGGGAATGCTTCTTGAGACGTTTCAATTGGCAGCCTTTCCCACTCTTTGAGAAGAACCCCAAGCCAGTCCCCAAGCCGCTCAGGCGGGGGCCAAAAGAACAATAAAAGGCCTGGTTCAACCAATTGACGCCCTCCAAAAATTGAGACCCACATGAAAACCTCAGGTCCTGCCAGTTTGGATGGAAAACCGAAAACCTGAGAAGTTTGTCCAAGGTCCAATGATCCATGCTATGCTAATCAGGTCCCAAAGGTCCACAGGTCCATGCAGCTTCTGCAGACCTCCTCTCCGGCTGCAGACCTCGTCCGTCGGGCTCGTGCGGCCCGGCCCGAGGCGAACAGCGCCTGGGCCGTGGCGAAGCTGCTGAATGGGCGCCGCTCGCTGGCCAGGTCGAAGAAAGAAAGGAAGGACAGAACTTGGAACCATGGGAAGAGACATGGTGAAGAGAACTTGGAGGCATTTTAAAAGGCAGCTGCCTTTTGGAAGAGACATGGTGAAAAAACGATCTTTTTCGCCTGAAACGAAGGGGGCGTTCTTCTACACAGGGCTGGATTGATGGTGGCTCTTTTGGGATGCTCCAGATCCTGTACCATCGGCCTATGCAGGATGGTGCAGGAGAATTCTTCTGTCACCTGGGCAGCTCCTTTGGCTCAGGGCTCTTCTAAAGGAACCAAACTCTACTCAAAACAGACTTTGGATGGTTGCATCATCGATTGGCCTCCCCACTGCAGCCTTCCGTCTTCCTGGGGCCCAGGGCCCGGGTGCGACCGGCCGAGGCGGCGCGGCGCAGCTTTTGGCCGGTCGCACGCGCGCGCACTTTTTCGAGCCCTTCGTGGCGGCGCTGGACGCCCGCGCGGGCGATCTGAATGGCCAGGACCATGGAGAAAGCATGGTGGTTGTGGTTGTGGTTGTTGTTGTTGGTATTATTTTTACTATTCAAACTGAGTTTTTATATGATTACTTTTTGGGGGGGTGAGGTGAAGCGGAGGAGGTGGATAACAAGCACTTTGATCTGATTTGGTGAAATTCCTCAGGAGGTAGTAATGGGTCATCAGGTGTCACCTGTTGCATGGATCATGTAGACTATTGCCTCCCCATCTGATCTGGATTGTAAGACCTCTTCACAAGGTAGACTCTTGAAAAAGGCATCCCAGACCGCAAAAGAGCTTTTCCAATCTATACGTGTATACAGTCTATACAAGCATGTAAGTATGTTTTTCATTGATCACAATTGCAGGAGCTCTCAATGGCCGCCTGGTCCTTGGGCCACCAAACCGGCGACCCACGAGCTGCTGGCGCGCTGCAACGCCTGGCTGAGGCTTTGGGAAGGACCTTGGCGAAGAGCGTTCGGAGAGGTGGCGGTGCAATTTCAATTGAAGACCGGGATGCCTTGTTGAAGATCTTTTTGTATTTTTTGTGGTTGATGTTTCATTCAAATTCAACAAGGTATGGGTTTAGTTCAGTGGAAACATTCTGATAGGAGGCATGGGAATCTGGGCTGGTCACACTATAGCCAAATCGAACTGGATGAATTTGAGTCTTCTCGCACCGGGAATGGCAGTGACAAGGGTGGGTTGGTCACACCTGTTCAATTTCGTGTTCAGCTTATGAGCTGCAAACTCCAATCCTCCTGCTTGACCTGGTGCCGCAGGTGGCACGGGCCTGGGACGTCCGGAACTTGAGCGCTCAGCAGTTGGCGACACTCAGTTGGGCCTTAGCCCGCTTGGATTGCCGGGACGAGGTGGCTGGGGCAGGTTCACGATGGGTTGACTATTACGATCCAACTCTAAAAGATTATATATATATACATTATCTCTTATATAATAAGAGCCTGTTACACGCATTATTCTAAATTTTGACCTCTTCCCAAGTCTGTTCGCTTCGCATTTCTACCTGTAGCCTCCTGTGTTTTGAGAGTTCACCCTTCGTTTCTACGAGGCCCGGGGGTGTCACCGTTCGGGCGGAGAGGCCATCCTGACCGACCTCGCCAGCGCCGCGGCGTGGCTCGCCTGGGGTACCAGACTGGGACTCGTCGAACTAGGGTCCTTCAACCGAATGCTTTTCGCCTCCTGGTGCAGCAAGATTTCTTCTCCACCTTCTCAGTGGAAGCTTGTGTGCTTTTCTAGGCCCCAGAGGTTTGAAACCAGGCTGGGCGGTGCAAGGGCAGAGATCTTCACACTTGTGGAAGAGAGAGAGAGAGAGAGAGAGGGGCTGCCTGGAGCCACTTCCCCCCCAGAACGTCGTCCCCACCACGACCAAGAACACCACGGACGTCTACCAGGTCCGATCGTTGATCCTCCTGGACCGTCCGGCGTCCGGACGTTGCCCCCAAGGCCCAGTGTGGCCCGAGGCGGGGGCGTTTTGTGACGAAGCGGCTGGCCGGCGAGCGAAGCCATCAGGATAGAGAGCGGCTGGCCGGCTGGTGTGCTTTCACATAGCCGGGGGTTCTCCCAAAGGAGATGCAGACCATTTTTGATCAATGTTGACTGTTGGGTTTTTGCACACATTTGTCGCTAGAGCCTGAGCTTGATTTGGCCAGTCAAGCCACCTAATATCACCTTAAGGCAATCCTATAGGCGCTCGGCCCCCAACCTTTATACATCAGCTCACCGGGCGCAGGCGAGTTCAATGCCCAAGACCTCTCCAACATCGCCTGGGCCTTCGGCCGACTGCAGCCGCAGGGCGCGCCGGGCGCGCAGGGCGCGCAGCGCGCGCCGGGTGCGTCGGCGTCGGCGTCGGCCGCGGCGCGTGCGAAGCTCCTTCAGCGCCTGCAGAGGGCGGTGCTGCCGCTCCATCGACGACTGGACCTGCGTGAGGGCGTGGGTGGGGGCCAACCCACTGGACTGAAGAGTGTGGCAAGAAGGGTTTTGGCAGAAGGGTGTGGCAAGTCGAGGGCGTCTTCCGAGTCTAGCTGGCTCTTGGCATCTAGGTGGGCCTTCCATCGCAAAACTTGGAAAAGGCTTGGACCTGGGGATTTCAGCGCTGTTGCGCAAGCTCTGGACAGTGCAAGCGTAGGACATGCCCATTCCCACCAGAATCAGCAGAGTTTGAAGAAGGTCGGTGCTGCACTCCCGATGCCCATTCGCGTCCCCCCGACCGTCGCCGAGGCCCTTGTGCCGCGTGACCGAGCCGAAGCGGCCGACGTCCCGCGCGGCGCGCGAGTCCGAGCGGGGCTTCTCGGCCCAGCAGATGGCGGTGCTCGCCTGGTCGCTGGCGCGGCTGGGGGCCGCGCCGGCGACCTTGACCGCGGTGGTGGAGGCCGTGGCGGCTCGGATCTCCGAGCTCTCGCCTCGAGACTTGACGGATGTGGTGTGGGACGCTTGGTCGAAATGGGGCGCGACTGGGTGCGGGTGGAGGGTCTTGGGGGCTGTAGGGGTTGCTGGCAAAGTAGTGGCGGAGAGGGGAGGGCCTGGGTGAATTCATCACGTCAAGTGCTGCCGGAAGACCGTGCGGTCGCCACATGGGGTCCACCACGACTATGTGTCGCCACATGTGTCCGACCCGTCCACGGTCCGAGGCCTTGGGCCATGCGGGGGTGCAGCACTCCGACTTCCTGAAGCAAGCTGGACACTACGCCCAGCTGCGACGGCCAGACTTCGGCACCCAAGAAATGCCTCCTGGACGGCACCAAGGAAGGGGCATCGCTTCGTCCAGAAGTCTTTGCGAGCTTCGGAGACTTAAGTCTGGCGGCTTGTGTCTAGTTATCATTACATATAGTTACCTAAGTGCGCACACCCAAACATATCTTACAGATCTTACAGGAAGAGTCCGCGGAGAAGAGTTATCCTGCATCATTTGAGAGGAATGCACTCTTTGCAGTGGGACATTGGGTTTGGAGTTCTTCCTGGAATCGCAAATCATCAATAATCAAAACAGTGGGATGCTGATGCCCCTGAAGATGTGGGTCAATACCCACCTCCCCCAAAACTGTGGTAGCCATGGTAGGCTAGCATGCCCAGTGCGAGAAGGAGTGGTAGCTTTTGGTGGCTTGGCCCATGAGGTTGCGCTTCTTAGGCGCCTTTCGTCGTGCAGGCTGGGCTGGGGTGTGTTTGTTGCACAGCTTGGCTTGGAAGGTTGGATGCACTTGGTTCAGGAAGAACATGGCTCGCCTGGTAGAAGACAATAACTTGAATTCCCATGAGTTGTGAATGTGTAGCCTGCTTTTGATCCCTTACTTGTGAAGTGGGCAAGCAGGGCAGCACGATCAAATTGCCTTTTCGCTTTTTTTTTTTTTTGGGGGGGGTGGCCAAGGCCAAGGAGTATAGAATAGCTCTCCGACATGGGTGTTTATGATTACATAGGTCCCCAAGAGGTTTTGAACAGGTGAGACGGAAGCCTTGCCCTGTGACAGGTGGGGATGCCAGCGTCCAGCAAGACTTGGCATCCCAGCAGCAGGAGTTGGTCTACGACTTCCCAGCGATGGGGCTGAAGGCCAGATTCGAGAGGCAGACTGGTAAGGAACAGCAGCTGGAACTTGGTGGTGGTGGGTGCCAAACGACTGCAGTCACCTCTTATATTCAAGCGCAGGATCTGGCTGTTGACCATCGCACTAGTAGAAAACCTAAGACTGCCTCAACCAAGTCAAACATTGGGTGCACGGGTGGGTCGGCCAGTGACTACAGTGGACAAGCGAAGCTTTTTTGACCCGTGTTGCCCGCATGAGTTGATCATGAAGACTCTGCAAAGATGTGTTCTTGGGGGGTTGTTATACCAGTCATGAGGCAGTTGGGCCAGTTTTGCCACACAAGGCGCGCGCGCGCTCTCTCTCTCTCTCTCCCCTCTCTCTCTCTCTCCCCTCTCTCTCTCTCTCACTCTCTCTCTCTCTCTCTCTGGGCAATCGCCTCCGTTTTCCCTTCTTGATGGGCTTGATTCACAAGTGTGTTGTAGTCTGTGATAGGTGAATCTCAAGGAACCTCAGAGTTCTCCAATCGCTGCTGGATCCACACCTGCCAGAATTGATCAGAATTGATTTTAAACCTGCAGGAAACCCAGAGTTCTAGGGTCAAAAGCCGTGAAGTTTTTTCCCTTAAGCCAGTCCATTGACGCAGGTGACGCTCCATGCTGAGACCCCTGGGCTCCGCGGCACCGCCGCTGCTGCGCGCCGCCGCACACGTGTGCGGCGGGCGGCGCTGCGGGAGCGAGAGGAGTTGGGCGGTGATCCCCAGCGTGCGGATGGCGGCACCACAGGAGGGTCGGAGGGACGTCCGTTTTGGTTCGTTCCTCCTGGTGCGTTAAAGGTTGGACTCCAGTGATATGAAACGCACCGTTAGACAAGGGACAGGCAGGTCATTGGTTGATTTGTCTGACATTTTTATTCAATTCCATTTTCCTTGATGGGGGTTTGTCGGCTGTTTCATACCTAGCTTAGCATCCAATGCAGATCCCGCCTTTTTCCTTAGATCCTTCAAATGCCTTCAAAGCTGCGGGTTTCTACAGTGGCCCCCAAGTCAACCAACAAAGACAGTCCTCCGGCGGGGAAGCCTTTCCCATCATTTCACATATATGTCTTGAGACCCTCTCACAGATAGCCCTCCTGAGAACTCCTGGCTTAAATTTCTGGGCATCTCACTTTGGGAACTGAGTGGTCCGAGTGTTGAGGGGGTATGGATCAAAATCGAAGCCCCTCTTGAGGAACTCCTTGCAACGTGCTCCCACCTGCCAGGCGTGGCCGTGTGGGAAGCCTCCTTTGTCCTGGCGGAGTGGATCTCGCACCTGAAAGGCTTGGCGTGCTGCCAGGCCTTTCAGGCGGGGGTCTGCGAAGGGTGGGGCCGACCGGCGTGCGTCACCACCACACAAATTCCGAAGTGGCCTCAGTCCACTCGGTGGACTTTCTCCGCTCCTGGCGCCCAGGAGTTGGTGAAGGAGGCCGGCGAGCCGTCGTTGATGAAGAGGCACGCGTGGGTAGAGGATTTCTCGAAAAAAACCACCATGCAAAGAGTCCGTGGAGGAAGAGGGCAGGCCCAAAACTGGGAGAATCCTTAGGAGTCGTTTAGAGTCCACTCCTACTCTCCTCAGCAAGTGTTGACATTTCAATGCCTTCAAACAATAACCTCCTGCTCTCCCGCACGTTGGGCAGTCAAACCTTGACGGTCTCAAAGGAGGTGGGCGCACTGACCCGTGTGACCTCGCTGGTGAATTGTTCGGGCCCCCAGGTGGCGCTCCTGGGGCCACCAGGTGGCTGTCGAGCTGGGCGCTGGGCTGGGGCTGCCGGCCATCGTAGCGGCACACCGGGGCCTACAGCGCGTGGTGGCCACGGAGCGGTTGGGTGGGGAATTTTTCAGACATCAGCCGTTGAGTGAGAGCCAACACACTCCGCAAAGATTTGTATGGATTGCATACTCTCGTTTCTGCATGTGTTTGCGCCGCGGCTTTGTTTAACGCTGGTGCAGGACGGGGATTCCTGTGTCATGAAGCTTTTGCGAGAGAATGTGGAGATCAACCAGCCCGCGTCAGGCAGGCGGTGCAGGGTGGAGTTATATAAGCCCAGAAAGATCTCAGCCGAAGCTTTGTTCAGCCGAAGAATCCGGGTACCGCACGAAAAGTATCGAAACATGATGAAAGCTAGGACGCTAAGCTCTTACCAAACCTCCTTTCGCATGGGATCCTCAAATGCACCGTTCTATATTCGGGAGGAAAAGATCGCTTCGCTCAAACGGGGCCACCGGCTAGCTTGATAGTGAATGACAAGGGGCTGTGACGATGAAAGGTGCAGGTTTTTTCGATTCGGAAGGGCTTCAGTTGCAAGCTCTTCTCAACTCAGGTGCCACCGTAGCGGGCACCTGTATGTTGGCATCCACATAACTGGCCGTCCCCGGGGCTCCAGGACCGAAGCTACGGAAGCAAGTGAGTGCCAAGGCACAAAAAGAACAATCCATTGGAGAGGGTTATCAGCTCTGTGCCAATGGCTTGCAACTCCAGCTAATTGGGAATCATTGTTTCATGCATTGCCAATGTGGAAACCGGGTTACCTCTTCTTGCGTGTAATGTTCTATAGCGAGTGCTTTCCTTGCAACAGTCAATTGAGCAGCTCTTCATGCAACATCGATCATCGGCCAAGAAATCAATGGGCGGAAGATCTAGTGAAAGCAGCCTAGCAAAGCCGGTGGCAGTCGATTCAACCCCTTGCCCCCAAAAACCTAGTCTTTTGGTTAGTGCATACCAGAAATCGTGTCGTTATGTGTCGTTCACCTTTTTCACCTACCAATTGAACGATTCCAGCCGAATCGGCCCTTTTCTTCGTTCCCTCGGTGTTCGGGTGGGGCGGGGTCCACGAACCCGCCCGAAGCTGCCCCACCCGAAACCCGCTCGACAGGTGGCCTCAGTGCTGTGGCCTTGCTCTGGGGTGCTGAGGATCCGGTGCAGCAGCTGCAGCTCACGCAGCCCGCGGACCTGCTCCTGGCGGCGGATGTGGCTGGACTGAAGTCCGGGGAGGACTTTCCTTTTTGGGGTTGGAGGGTGAAGCAACTTGAGTGCGGGGGTCATTCATGCCCCTGCATTCAGTCTGCTGTGAACAGAACTTGGTGGACCACTGGCGCAGGTGCGGACGCTGTGGATGGATGATGGGCGTGCCTTTTCTTTGCCTTTCTAATTTAAGGTGATCTATGCCTCGGCAAAAGAAGCCCTCAACAAGCAGCTGCTGGAGACGATGCTCAAGCTCACCCATCCCGACTCGGCCTCTTGGGCGATGCCTGAGACGATGCCAAGAGGGTCTACGAGTCTTGAAACAACGCGAGAGGGTTCCAAACAACCTTGTTTAGAAGGGGCCGTGTTGGAACATCTTTGACACCCAAATGCCACTTTGAGACTTCCTCTTGTGCATGTAGATACCTTTTTCACCCTTCTTGAACCAGCTTTTGACAACATCGTTGTCCAAATGCAGTGTTACAGTGCTGGCTATCAACGGGAGGAGCCCCTGCTGAAAGACCATGCAGACAGCAGGTGGTCTCAACGCCAACGGCGGTCTCACCGTAAACCCTCCTTCACCAGCGCCGGGGTCCATGAGAACGCACCGAACTTGGAAACATTGGACTCCTTGTTACTAGTAGCGTCCGATCGCTACTAGTAGCGATGCCCTTGTGACTAGTAGCTTCTTGTTACTAGCAGTGATGTTAGGAGCTACTAGTAGCGTCCTTGCTACTGAGTCGATGGGTTCTGCAAGAAATCGACCAACCCCAACCCGTGTGCCACCCATCGCCCGGTATCCAACCGAGGTGGTCATCCTGGGGAACGTGCGTCGCTTCCATCAGGCGCCTCTGGCACCGAATGGAATGACCTGGAGCGGATGCCATTCAACACCTAGACCGGATGGCACCGACTCAACGTTGAACTACCACCTTCCATTCGGCCACCTTCGTGCCCAGAAAACACGGGAGAGAGACCTCGTTCCTTCTGTGCGGCCACCTAGTGCCGACGTGCTCGCCACAGCCGTGCTCGCGTGGCGCGTGTGGCGCGGGTGGCGCGTGCGCGCGCGGCAGCTTCTTCCAAGGTGAAGAAGGGTGAGCAGAAGTTCCTCCAGGAGGCTGAACGACTCTTCCACCGCACCGCGGTGCCCAGCAGCGAGCTGCATCCGGACCGGGTTTCACGGGCACCGGTGAAACGGTGGGCTGACCTTTTTTGAGCCGGCCCTTGGTGTCTATAGAAGGGGAGTGGGCATTTTGGCATGGGCTGTTTTGTGGGAGCCTGCCCCAAGACTGGCAGTGTGCTCATAAGTCAGTGGTTCGATGTTCTAAAATGTCAAGTTAAGCCGCTATGCGATGAGCTAATCAGCTGCACAGGCTACAAGGGCAACTCGATGGGGTCGTCAATACTACCGTTTGACCTTGTTTTTCTTCTTGCGCGACATTCGAAACGGAGGACTTCCAGCGGATGGGCCTTGGAAGCTGTGAAATCCACCTCCTGTGCAGCCGGGGCTGTCAATTGGAGCTGCTGTCCCAAATGGCTGAAAATGAGACTTTGACTTTGGTAGTCGAGATTTAGCTAGATATTCAGCTTGTTAGTCTAGTAGACTCTACAGGGAGCGTGTTGTTTGAACATCTAATTGGCTATTGTGACAGGAAGACCCTCAACTGCTTTCGACCGACGCTTGGTAGTTACTGCGAAGTACCAACCCCTACTGGATAGCTCATCCTACTGGATAGCTTCATTTTGTCGAAGATCTCAACTTCAAAGGTTCCAGCAAAAGCTCCGTGTCTATAGACGTTGTCAAGTAGAGAATGTCAAGGGAAAACCATGGGAAACAATGGGCATCGCAATCTACTCCACGCTTTCCACGGACCGTGCCCGTTACCATAGGCCCCATTGGGGACAAATGGATGAATATGAGCCCATCGACATAGTAGCTGTACAGTGGATTCAGATGGCACAAGTTACCCCAATGTCGGTGGTTTAGACATGGGACTCCCATCTCCCAGACATCGGGGTGCCAGTGAAACCGCTGTTGACCGACCCGGTCGGCACCCGCCGAGGCATCCGCCGGGCGCAGCTCGTGCGGTCTCCGCCCGGTGCCACGTCGAAGGCGAAGACGAAGCAGGCGAAGGGGTGGCGAAGTGATAGAAGTGATGGGAAGAAAGGGGGGGAAGGGAGCAAGAGGCTGAAAGGGGGGTTCATGATCCGCCAAAGGAGGACTGAACACTCGCCAATGATTAGAGTGGTACTCTCTCTGCCAGAAATTCCTGTTCAGAAGGACAGAGGTGAGGAGGAAAGCTTGACTTGACCGACAAGGGGTGGGTTCCCGGGAACCCGGTCATCGATGACCGACCGGTCATCGATGTGTGGCTTACCGTGTGGTGCGTCCTGTAGATTGGGTTGTCTCCACTTTCTGAACTGGATCCGGTGGATGGTGGTGGAGATGTGCAGTTTCAGACTATTTCTGGGAAGGGGGCCTCCAACCATCAATAATGGCAAAGTCGTCATCTATCTATGAATCCAGTCAAGCGGACAGAGACACAATGCGATGGATTGTGATTCACCACCTAATGGATTTTTACTGGGAACGGATTCATTTGCAAGTTCTGGACGCTTTTCAATCTCCAAAATAAGTAAGACCATGAATTCCAAGCACAAAGTGGTTCCCACGTCCACTGCCAATTGCAGTTGCACCTTCATTTTAACATCCACAGAAGATTTCGACACCTGCCTAGACTGTGGGACCAAGATGGGTGCCAGGTCAAGTCTTTGAAGACGTGTGAGTCAGTCCCCTCGGTGGGTGGGTGGGGCCCGGGCGTCTTTTTGTTGGGCGGGTGGAGGTCCTCAACACCCGTCTGGAGGTCCTCGTTTTGACAAGCGGAGCGATGCCCAAATGGAGGATGTTTGAAATCAGACATCAGGAGACACGGTAGTAGCCTTTCCTCCCTTGTCCATTCGCGTCCGTGCCCTCATTTGCAATAGATCAATTCTTTTGGGGCCATATCAGCCAAGTCGTTGTTTTGGGTCTCTGACAGATGTCAACCTATAGAAGCTATGCCAGCTCTGTGACATAAACATGAGCTTTGGTTCGGGGTTTCTTTCACTACCAAATGGCGATCATCACCTGAGGAATGCAGTGGCTTTGTGGCACAAGACTTGCAATCTTTCTTCCACTGTCACTCCAGCATGCAACCCGGAGGCTCACTCTCCGAGGCTGCGGTCCACTGATTCAACCTCGCATGAGCCCCCTTTCTTGATGGAAAGTAGGTAGCACAGAGTTCCTGCATTCCAAAACGCTGGACACCGATAGGGGCCAACCCAACAAAAACACTTGGGTTATTGGGGGCACCGAGAAGTTGTGTCTGCGGTACCTTCACGCCCAGAGCTCCGGGGACTGCTGCTGAGGCCGGAGACTCCGACGGCGCCGAGGAGAGGCCCGGGTGCAGACGCGCGAACGGGGGGTAGACCAGTCGGATGGATGGGGGTCCAACTGGGCCGCGCAGATGGAAGGTCGAATCGGCTTGCAACGACCAGGTCTGGAAGAACCGATTTGAACATGCTTCCTTTGGAAGTCTCGCTGTTGACCAGTTTCCTGGACACACTTGTGGCTCATTGTGGGCCAAGTTGGTGTGCTGTTTCGCTTGGGTTCCTGTTCTAGAAGCACAAAGAATGAGTACCGTGATATGATTACGACCATCGGAAGCTCCGTGCTCCCCTTGTGTGCAGGTTTTCCATGCAAGTAGCAGGCAATGCTGGCTAGTATAGGGCAATGTAGGAACTGCTAGGCTAGATGACTCCAGGAACTACCAAACGGTCATCCTTCCCGAGTGCAACCCTGACATTTCCAGGGTCTCGTTGATGGACGCAGCTGTGTGTCAGACACATGGCAGGAAAACGGCGGCGTTCCAATGGCGAGGACTTGGAACGAAAGAAGCGACGGAAGGTGCGTCGATGATGCTTTTCACGCGTATGGAAGCTGTGCCAGCTCCAACCTTGGAGTTTGGTTTCTAGCGTGTTGTCGCATGTGCACAACAACCCGAACCCTCCAGTAGAAGTTAATAAGAGATGCGGGGCACAATGCAATCCATTGGTGGGATCCCCATCTCGAGACCCGCACCTGTGGTGTTCACATCAGGTGGCTTGCTGGGTTCTGCTTCATTTTCCACTGGATGTTTGTCTATTAAACCCAAGAGGCCCTGCCCGAAGGGTCGCTCCGCTCAGCCCACCCTGTGAACTACAGGCGAGCGCCTTGCCGGCGCGCGGGGACGCCGCGGGCGCGGCGGAGACCCGCGCGCGGAGGAAGCGCAGAGGAATCGGAAGCGCAGAAAAAGGGATGCGCCAGTGGAGCTTGGCGTTGGCTCGAAACGGCGGAAGACCTCCGACGGTAAATGAAAGCCGGGGGAATCCTTAACTTCAGGTGGGGCAGAACCCTGACTCTTAGGTCCAGCAATGCCAAGAAGATGGCTTAGCAAGACTCCAGGAAGGCCGTCTCCCTCCCAATGAGGCGGTTTGGGTGACCCCTCACATCCCGCGCCGTCCAACCCTCCTTGTCGCCAGGCCAGCGGCTTGCTCAAGGGCGCCGAGGAGGCCCTTTCCGAGCTGAAAACCAAGGCCGCCACCGTCCGCCGGATCTCGGGTCCGCCGAGGGAGGATCTCGGATCCCTCGGGTCCGATGGATCGCCCGTGGAGAGGAGGGAGAGCTGCGCGGTCTCTTTTGGGATTCGTGGTCTGATCACCCACAGCGAGATGTGATGTTTTCGATTGTTTTCGTGGTCCCCCCTCCCAAGAAAGGCGAGCCAGGTTCTGTTTTTGTTTTGAAGGACTAGAACTGGTTTGGTAGTAATCGTCCACCACTACCGTAAGGGGTAAAAATTGTCATGATGAGTCATAACTGGACTCTCAGGGTTTTTGAGCGTTTCACATCGATGTCTGACTTGGGCACTTCCATCCACCTACTTACTTTGGGCAAGTGCACCCTTGAGTGCGACACTTGTTTTGAACAAATGCTGGGTTTGGACTGGACAGTCGTTTCACGGATGATGTGGGCGCTGAGCTCCATGGAGGGTGCCCCACCGCTGTAAAGCCCTTTCAAGAGTCAAAGGTCGTGCCACAAGATTCAGGAATCATGTCAACGTCTTGATTTGAGCCAACGATTTGAGGGGAGTCCATGATCCAACGTTCCTGTTCTGCTCGAGCACGTCGCTCCACGGGCCCTCAGTAGGCTTGGGTTGAGACGTCGCTCCACTCGCCAAGTGTGCCGATCCAATGGGCACGGGTTTGGAGAAGCGCATCCCGGGGGCGCATGAGGGCGCAGGATGGATGGTCTCGCATCGAATGGCGCAGGGTCCAAGGCCGTGGTTCCGTCGTTCGGCCCGCCTTACGCGTCCTGAACCCGCGGAGGGACTCGTGTTGCAGCAAAGCTGCGGAGCGACGCCAGGTGAACGAACTGAAGAACGGCCTGCGGCCTCGGTTTGGGTCGGCCGGGGGCAGTTTACCAAGCATCCACCGACTGGAGGTTGGGTTGGGAGGAACCAAGAGACTTGACCATGAGAGTTGAATATCTATATTGTTTAGGGGCTCAGGGGATGGAGTTAGTATATAACTGGAAGGAGTCTTCTTCCGCTTGTCTCCGCCCCTATCTATATGCATCCTGATCTTGCAAATGGTGTATACAGATACGCTCCTTCACACAACCTTACTGTTGTCCCAGAGCAGTCAGAGATGGGGACCTGTGGCGCAGATATATAGATAGAAGGTCTGCGGAGAACCCCTACTTTGAACCATTTGCAACTGCCAGGCTGGGTGGTCCTAAAGTTGATTTCCTTGATGTTTGCCAGTGTTTTTGTTTTTGGTCAAGTTTCTTTCCCTCAAGTCAGGCCTCAAGTCAGGCCTCATGTGGGCATAAGTGGAATGGTTTAAGATTTACACAGTGGCCTTGGGTCGCAGCCCACACTGCTTCCACTCTACCTACGGATGAGCCGGAACTTGAGCCTCCTGAACTCCCTAGTTCAATCTGATTCTAAACTAGGCGTGCCTCAAGGTAGGGAACCTTCCCTGGTAAAGGGAAAAGAGATGAGACCTAGGACCTCTAAAAGTTGAGCCCCCCCAATTCCTCCATGACACTCCCATTGGTTCAGAGAACACACAGGCACACCCACACACCCACACACACACACACGGCAGGCCCTCCCAGACTCGGCACGATCGGTACGATTGGCACGGCGTGTTGGAGCTCCCAGGTGTCTCAGCTGACCTCAAGGTCTGGTGCTTGATGGAGAGCAAATCGCTGGACGGAACGGGCAGATTCGATTCCCACAGGGGGTGGCAACATGTGGCGACCAGAAGAAGAAGTGGCCGAAGCAATTTGGATCAGGGTCTCAGATCTTGGTCTGTATGAGGTAGGAGGGATTAGGAGGGACTCATTTTTCAGCAACTCCACTGACAGAGTACTTTGTGCAAAGCCATGCGCCAGACGAAATTGATTGAGTGGTTCGCAGTTCACTCATTGCTCAACATCATCTATATAGGTTTTGTTCCATGGACATGGGGGTACGGTATCACATCCTGCTATTGGCTTTTCGTGCTGGTGGACCTCGAACAGCGCTTGGTTTGTGAACGTGCCAGCTGAAAGATGTTTCAAACATAGATGTGACCTTGAGCTCTCCACCACACCCAATACCAACAAACATCCAATACCAACAGCCATCAAGTAAGAGATTGTTTTGGGGGGGGCCACTGACCGCCAAAGTTCGTGATGGCAGTGACTGGTGCACAGAATGTTCAGAAATCCAATTCCAACTGACTAGGAATTGGTCGTGGTAGTGGTCAGTCCGCCACCAAATCGGTGCCTGGTCAGTCCATCCAGCTAGCTCCAGGACTTTAAGCTTCAAGACTTCGAGCGAAGGGTGACCACCTTGTCTCGCAAGCGCGGGCGCCCGTACTCTTCAGCGGTCGAAGACTAGGTCGGGTGCTCCGCGGGGGCGGGCTCCGCGGGCGGAGCGGGCGGAGCGCGGGCTCCGCTGCCTTTGTGCTTCCGGTTGGGTCATGGTCCGGGATGTACCACTGACCAGTGAATTTCATCGTGATGCATGCACATCCGTCCTGATCCACTTCTCAAGTTGGCATACACAAGAGGAGGGCAAAACGAGACAGTTTGGGTTGTGAAGCACGTTCTCAACCCAAATGCGTCACTCCCACCCTCCAAGCGAAGAATGCCTCATCGGCTCCTGCAAGCTTGGCCATTTGTGCCTGCGTGTCGCTGCATATTACTCTTGTATCAGCCACATTCCGACCTCAAGCAGAATGTCCGCACCCGTCCACTCGATTTCCCCCTAACATCCTGGGAACCCGCCACGAGTGCCGAAAGAAAAACAATCCGGCACGAGCTCTTTCTCAGTCTCGGATCCACTCGGTGTCCGGTGCCCAAGGCAGACGCAGTTGGAGAACAACACCAAGGCGAAGGACCCGCGACCCCCCGCAGACGCGCGGCTTGGGCGGCCGCTTTTGGTTTGTGCGGAGCGACCGGTCGCAGAGAGAGGGGAAGGAATGGACGAGGAGGCATTGGGGCGAAGCGGACGTCGGAAGGCGTTGGGTTGGATTCAAGGTCCCAACGTTCAAATCGGGAGGATTAATTTTTATTCTTAAATTTGTGTGTTGTTCATATTGCCATGCCAGTGAAGCGACTGGGTGACCATACGGCTTTAGCAAAGTGCAAACAAAGTTGTTCATATTTGTCAATGTTTTGTTTTTTTGAAGCATTTGGAGGGGTCATCTGGGGTGACAGGATCCTCCATTTTGGAGGGGACACGGTCACACGAACCAGGTGACGAGTTACTCGTCACCGTGAGTAACTCGTCACCGTTTGGCCCAACAGGGCTCAAATTTGGATGTCCACCAAGTGGGAGAGCCGCAGGGCGTGGATGATGGATGTCCTTTTTTTCTAGAAGAGACTGGAATGACATCTTCTGAAGGATGGGTTGGGATTCCATGCATTCCGCTTTAAGACGCTGGACGATGGAACAGTTACCGCCGAAGAATTGGATGTCCAAGAGCTTTCTCCCCCCGAAACCTCCGCAGAACGACCCGAGTTCTCCGCAGAGTTCTGCGAGTCCCGCGTGTTGTGCACCGACTTCTTACAACATGACGGACTTCGTCCGTTGTAGCGGTCAGACTTCGGCTGTGTGGACTAGGGACGGGCGGTCCCATGCATGTTGGACGCGCCGAGATGCTGCCTGCTTGACACCCAAGAGGTGTTGAGAGCAAGGATCATGGGAGAGGCAACGGTTTATGGAATTATGGAAGCGAACCATCCACTTACCCAGTCTCCACTGAGAGAGAGAGAGAGGGGGCCGTACACGCGGCCATCGCAGCCATGGCAACAACCCCTTCTGCCACAGCAGCAGTTCTTTTCCAAGCGTTCCAACCTTCACCACACAACAAGTTTTCAAGCTTGTGTTTGATATGATATAAGGGGTTCCCAGATCCGATAGGACACATTCGTAGAGGAATCCAATCCTTGGCTTGGAGAATTGCGCCCTGGAAGATCAACATGGAACCTGTGTCCATCTCGCAGGAAGTATATATCCTTTCCCGATTTCTTATGATGTGCATTGATGTAGAAACCTCCATCAGAAGAATTTCCCTTGTCCATTTTCTTTGTCTTCTGGTGCTGTTCTGCCTTGGTGCAGGACTTATTCCGTCTACAGTATGGGTTCCCGGAGTTGTTCTTTAATTACATATAAATTCTATAAAATTGATAGCGGAAAGGGGTTATTTGGCAGAGCACAGCCAGTATGTTCTTTGATTCATGTCACACCACCGAGTGCTTGCTTCAGATGTAAACAAGAAGGTCCTCAGTGATCCATCATCTGAGCGCTGTGCGCTCCGCCTCGCCTCGCACGCGCGGATGCAAGGCAGGCTGAATTGCATCTGTGGGCCAAGCCCCCAAAGCCTTCATCAGCACTGAAAGCCCTCCCCCAAATCACCCTGCTCCCATCACCGATGCTGGGCCCGGTGTTTGGTAGCATCTGCGGCGCGAGCGGCGCTTCTCCCGCAGGAGGCGATGGAAGCGGCCATGGCGGAGAAGAAGATTGTGGTCGGACACCCGCAAAGTGGGTCGTTTTGCTGTTGGGATGGGCATGGGGCGCATGGGGCGCATGGGACGCATGGGACCCATGGGACGCATGGGATGCATGGGACGAAGATGGATGAAGATCATCAATTTCTATGCTTGACCTGGTAACCTGATCATGGAGTGTTTTTTTCTCTTTGGGGGGTTGGTCCATAGCAACATGCGGCAGGCAGGTGCTGGTCGTTTCCGGGTTGGGTATGTATGTGATCCAGGATTCACGGGCGCAAAGCATGGTGAGCTGGCTTTACCGCGTTGAGGCCTTGCTCAAACACCACCAGAAGGCCAAGACTTTGTCTGGGTCTCAGGCATGAGGATCTCGTTCGGCCAGCGTGGGGTTACGCAAGATGGGCAATTGACCGAGGGTTGGTTGGGATTGCGAAGATGGACATGATGGAAGATGGAACCACCCTCCAATACCTTTACATAGGGCGCCATAGAGGCTCAGAATCTTAACAGAGGATATTCTTGTGCTGGGTGCCAGTGAGTTTTCGGGATGCAGAATATTTACAGTAGATGACTTTCTGCGATGGGAAAAGTTGTAACGGGTCAAGAGCTTATTGGACAGCAAGAGGGTAAGAAACTAGAAACTGTAGTGTAGTGGTCTTTCCACCGGTATGCAGACCACACTATCCAGGTCACTGACCACAGATTTTTGAGAGGACAATATGTCCATCTATGCCCCAAGTTCTGCTGAAGAGAGAAAGCACTTCCTGCGGGTTCCGAGCCCTCGGCAGCCTGAGGGATGTTGACAAAGGATGCCTTCGAATCATTCGAGGGCCCAAGGAGTGGCGAATGGACACCCCTTTAGAGGTGAAAAGGGGCTATTGATGGACGCCCCAAAACAGGGGCCCTGGTGTTTGCTCTGCTTTTTGTAGACTGCCACCCACCCACCAAGGCTCCAAAAACGAATGCTTTGCGAAAGATCTGAGCTTTGCTCCTACGCGCGTGGACCAGGTCGCTTTCGGACGTCGAACGTGGATGTCGCATCGCCCAGGACGACGGAGGACCTCGTGAAGGAAATGGCCAAGGAGGAGGATCAAATCAGCAAGGCAACTGCCTTTGGCGAGGGAGGGCAAATGGTGAGAAAGAGGGTGACGAGTGGGTCAACTAAACAAAGGTAGGGCTCGTGTTCCAAGGCATGCCTAAGACAAGGTGCCACGCCGAAGTATGGAACCCCTGCTGATTTACTCGTTGGGAATGGGTGAAGCTCTGTGGAAACCTTCATGGGGGTGTGGGTAGCGGATTGGTGTGAAAGAGAGTGTAGGAGAGTGACCGTCAGCATAAGCGGTGTAGGAGAGTGACAGTCATGTCCCTTTTTCCACTCACGTTATTCAAGCCACTACCACCCTAGTAACACCCTAGCTAAATAAGAGAGAGAGAGAGAGAGAACGCGAGGCCCAACCTTTCTTTCTAGCGGGTCGTTTTTGAATGGAAGGCCAGTTGCCCAACAGGAGGCTCAAGTGGAATCGTGGCATGTCAGACTGAAGATTCGGAGGGTGGAGAGTAATGATATCACTCACTCATGGTAGGAGACTCGGCTGTGAGTCGCAACCTAGAGACGCCCCAAACCTTCTTTGTAATCTATTCTGATTTATATATTTCGTGGATTATTGGTTCGTCGGAACTCAAGGGTTTTCAGAACCTTAAGCAGTGGACCGCATTTGCGTGACGGGAATAAGGCTTTTGGGGAGCTGGACATCAATTTCCGTTTGGGAATTGAAACTTTACAATTTACGGGTATCCTACAGGAAAGGATCCATCCAGGTGAGTCAAACGTGGTCTGCCACTAAATGTTCTGGATTGAGTGAGCAGTAAAAGCCAGATCCTTCGAGGCCATATGTTTGCTCTGGACGGAGGGACTCACTACAATACTCTCAAGACAGAATTTGAATCTGTAAAGGTCTTCCAAGACTTCCATGCAAACTTCCCTGGATTCCTACTACCTATCAATGATATTTGAATCAGGGGAGTCTGAGTCTGAGTCCTATCTAACTCGGGCTTAAAGTGGAGTTCCGACGAACTCCGACGAACTTGGCCTTAAAACTCTTAAATTTCTTGTTTTTTCAAGTTTTTGCTCGTGATAATTGGCTGTTGGTGTGGCCAAAACCACCTGAAAATAGCTCTGAACAAGCAAGTTTGGTGTATTTTCTAATGAAAATTGCACCTGCGCCGCGTCTATTCTGTTCCTTTTGGTGGTCAACCAAGGTCCCCTGGTGCCATGACCCACAGCCCATGGTTGCTTTCGCATCGTCTCGTCTGTGCATCATTCACTCACCGCTGCCGAGCTCGCGAACTCGCCAGGATGCTTTCGTGGCCTTCGTCGGTGCGTGTGAGAAGGACGACGGAGTTGAGGTGACCGAGGAGGAGATAGGCCCGGTGTTTGGGGATCCAAACCACGGCTGGTGCCTTCTTGGGGGGTTTTGGTCGAAAGGAGGGCGTGAGCCAGCGGGAATGTTTTTTTCTGGTGCGTGCGGAGATCTATCCCGGCTAGAAATAATCTGGAATTGATGATCCTTGGGACATCTGGGGAGAAGTAAGAACAGACGTGGATTTGGTCGATGTGCCTTAATTACTTGGCAACGTTGTATTTTTGGCGGTGAATTTCCCTCAGACCTCGCCCGGATTGGGCTTCCGACCATTAATTTGGTCCCCTCCTTCAATGTGTTGTGTCGGTGGGAGCAGTGAACTCTTTTGCGGGGATCTTTTTCGAGCAGTTGGGGCCGCTGGGAGAAGTCCTTGAAGGAGTATCGTAACGTAAAGGTCCGTCCTGCGGGTGTGCGTGGCCCAACATCCGTGAGCTGGCTTGGAGTCTGTGCACCCGGCTGGAGCTTCCGTGACTGAAATTCCAATGTGGTGGCCGGTATCTTTTGGCCCGTGCCCCGCAACGGGCTTTCCAAGGGCACTTGACGAATTTGCCAGGCACCTTCTTTGAAGCCCAGGATGTCGAGAAAGAGGACTTCCTCACGAAGGAGAGACGAGTTTCGAAGGTATCAGCTTATCAGCTGAAACGCAGCATCCCACGGCGCTGCAGCAAACGCACACTGTGTTGGTCTTACGTAGAAACTTCCCTAAGGTGTACGGAAACGGGCCCCGTCAAGACTGTAGCCTGTGCACTTTGCTGTGGCAGGAGCACATGTTGATGCTCGTCCGCACGCTGAAGAAGGTGCTGCCAAGTCTCATTCAGTCCAACAGAACACTGTCATGTCATAGCTGTTGGCCATACTCTTGATGCCCTCTCTCTCCCTCTCTAGACTCTAGGATTTGGTCCGAAGCCCCAGCCGCTAGCCCCTTCCAAAATGACGGCCAACCCTTCCCAGGGCTTCCCACCAAGCAGGGAATACCCTTTGACTCGTACCCCGTGGCGATCCAAGCCCCTCAATCCCCTCTTCCACCCAAACCTGCTGGCGCCATATCCAGCCGTGCCACCACCCGCTGACCCGCCGATCGTGGCAGGTGGTGAAGGAAACCACCATGACCGAGGGTCTGGACATCAGCGAGAGCACCGTGATGACGAAGCTCGAGGCGACGGGACTGCTCCCAGAGTCGGCCACTAACGCTTGGGACTGCTGAGATGCAGGTGATTGATTGCAGAGCCTCACTCATATCATGGGGAGTTAGACTCAGAATCAAGAGTCTGCGTTATGCATTCTGGGCCGTATGGTTGGATTTCACCTTCCGGAGCATTTCGGGGCCATCGATTGGGCACCTAAGTTCCGGGCGAAAAAGCCACTTCTCAAGAGAAGCCTTTCGCCCTTTTCCAGGTTCATCGAAAGCTATCCTTGGATCATCAGATCGATCCACCTGGCAGATCTCTCAAAATCCGATCTTCCCACCTGTGGTTTCGTGCCACTTCGCCGCGGGTTCGCCCCCCCCCTCCCAGGTGGGCGAAGTGGTCGAGCTCTTGAGTGAGCCGAGCGAGCAAGGCCCCCCTCACGTCGCCGGACGCCGGAAGAAGCTCATGCCGAAACCAAGCCGAAGAACAGGTAGTGTGGACTCTCATCCAATTTTGGTTGGTCTATTTTGTAGACACATGATACATGCTGTTAAATCTTTCCCTCAGGGGAGACCTGCATGAATCAAGGGGCTTAAGCTTGAAAATGCCGCAGTGGACTCGCCAGCCTCATCTCTCTCACGGAGCACAGGCAGCGGTGAAAGCATCACTGGAGAGTGGGTGAAATATTCGGAGTTGGTCCTCGTTCCTGCTCAATTTGTTGGACGGGGCCTGCCCCCCTCAACCAACGCCGCGTGGCAGGTGACATGCTCCGGGCGCGGTGCCGGAGGATGAGAGACGACACGGAGGGCTGGGTAGCGAGCTGAGTGGCTGGGGCGGGAGGTGAAGCGACCTGGAGGACGGTTCGTAGGCGTAGGCTGGGTGAGCGGCGGGGTGAGGAGCTCATTCCAATGTCCAATCTGCTAGTGGCTGCTAGTCTTATGCTGGGACTCTGTGATCTATCACTATTGGTGGGAGGCCTACCGCTTTTCCACCCCAATCTGCACTGGTTGAGCACAACCTGGGACAGGCCGCTCCCGGCAGGAGAGGGGAGATCACCGGTTTCCTGAGACATGAAGGAGGGGTCGAAGGCTGACCGACATGACCGACATGACCGGTGCAACAGGCAATCTGTGTTTTTTGGTCTTCCATCATGAATCATGCTCCACCGTTGTCATTGAATTCAACCTGTATGACGCTGTAGTGTTCACACCAGCCTGGAGCTGCTTTGACCAGCTCCTGCAGCCCCGATTGTCCCGCCCAGGTGACGATCAAGGGCAACCAGGGCTCAGCCGGGGCAGCCCAGAGCAGGTCGGAATGCTTAAGCGCCAGCTCAGCTGTCGTACCTAACCTACGGGTACGCCTACAGTGCCTACAGCAGAGTTTAAGGCAATTAAGGGCCAAGGGCTGTCAACCTGGGTTGACCGCCCCGTTCAAGAAAGACTTGGGACTCTTCAGGGCGTGCACACCATAGAAGAATCCCATTGAAAGATGGTCTCATCACATGCACATGTGGCCTTCCTTTGGGACATGTTCGCATCTGGCCAGTCAGAAACCTTCACTGAAGCTCGTGATGCTCGCAGGGACCAGCCCAGCGACGGTTTTCAGGTCCCTGGCGGAGTGATCCCGGCCGCCTGAGTCGCGTTTGCTTTGACCCGATGTTGTGGCCCCCTTTGCGGCACCTGTGCTTGGGGAGATTCGTGGGGGTTTAGGATCTACAAGATCAACCTGCAGTGGGATCCAATCTGGGATCTTCCCATCTGGCCGCCCACAAGCACACACCCCGCCGACCCAGGCCTATCTGGCTGATGGCGGCCTTGTGTGGAGGGTCCTCAAGGACTGGTGCTGACACACTGAGATGGCCGCCGGGCCAACATGGAACCGAACAACCCGCTCTTCAGCGCGAACGGCTTGCAATTCAAGACATTTGGCCACGTGCGCAAGCCTGTCTCGACTGGTTGGTTCGCTGTGTTCGCTTCTGTATGTCCCATGGTCCTTTCGTCGGTGGTTCTTCACAGAAACGCCTTCCGTTCGCATCTTCTCCCATCGCGGGCAGGAGACGCTCCTCACCGAAAGCTTCGATCTGGACGATGACTCCGCCTCGGCCCGGGCTCCTGCCTTCGCCGGCCGAGGTCGGGGCTCCCCTCAACCGGTTCCGGTCCAAACCGCCGGAGGTTCCCCGAGGCTCTTCGCCGTTTCGAGGGGGGAGGGCGCCGTTTCGGCGCCCAAGGGGAGCGTCAAAAACACGGAAGAGTCGAGCCGCCACCAAGGCTGGCCATCGCAGGAACTCCAAGGCTTTGAACATCTCACACTTTTGTGTCCCTCCACCGCAGCACCACTTAGGAAGAGGTGCGCAAGCTCCGGCTGAATGAGCTCGTCGAGGTCCGGGAGTGGATGAGAAAGGATGAGAAGCTTGGGAAGCCCAGACAGAGGGTGAGAGAGAGAGAGAGAGGGAGAGAGAGAGAGAGAGCAGGGTTGGCTCAAGCCATCTTCGCTCAAGTGTCACTTCCTGGAAGGGGGGAGCCATGGAAATTCAAGCACTCTCTGGTGCCACTGTCACCCAGCTTCATGAGGAAGAACTTAGCTGCATGGTCGAGAGTGGACAATCTGGAAAAGATCTGAAAAAGCTCCTAGCCAGTCGGATTGGATACTCGAGATTTCGACAAAGACTTTTCAGTGAAGACATGGGCGAGCTACAGGATGATATGCCTGTCAGACAGCTACCAAGTTTGCAGTTGGTAGTCTTGGACTTCTGTGCGCCTGAGGAGGCCAAGTGGAAGGCACTACTCCATGCGTGTGAGAACAATCGAGTTGTTGAAGTTGAACAGTTGCTTCAGAAACCACTGGATCCCAATAGGAGAGGCCCAAGCCCTCAACCTGAATGGCCTATGTTTTCCGCTGCGGCACTGGGCTATTTGGAAGTGGTACGAATGTTGCTCGAGGCTGGAGCTGAGAAGAATGCAGCAACTCAAGATGGGGAAACCGCCTTGATGGCTGCAGCTCGGGATGGCCACTTGGAAGTGGTGCAGGTGTTGCTCGAGGCTGGAGCTGACAAGAATGCATCAACTCAAGACGAGGAAACTGCCTTGACAGCTGCAGCTCGGGGTGGCCACTTGGACGTGGTACGAATGTTGCTGGAGGCTGAAGCTGAGAAGAATGCTGCAAAGCAAAATGGGGCAACCGCCTTGATGGCTGCAGCTCGGCGTGGCCACTTGAAAGTGGTGCAGGTCTTGCTCGATGCCGGGGCTGACAAGAATCCTGCAAAGCAAAATGGGGCAACCGCCTTGATGCTTGCAGCTCGGCATGGCCACTTGGAAGTGGTGCAGGTGTTGCTCGATGCCGGAGCTGACAAGAATCCTGCAAAGCAAAATGGGCCAATGTTGACTGCAGCTCTGCGTGGCGACTTGAAAGTGGTGCAGGTGTTGCTCGAGGCTGGAGCTGACAAGAATGCAGCAACGCAAGACGGGACAACCGCCTTGACAGCTGCAGCTCGGGGTGGCCACTTGGAAGTGGTACGAATGTTGCTCGAGGCTGGAGCTGAGAAGAATGCAGCAACTCAAGATGGGGAAACCGCCTTGATGGCTGCAGCTCGAGACGGCCACTTGGAAGTGGTGCAGGTGTTGCTCAAGGCTGGAGCTGACAAGAATGCAGCAACTCAAGACGAGGAAACCGCCTGCCCGTGGTCCCTTCCATCGATCATGTGCTGTGGGTCTGCCGGCTTTTCGCTGCGCTGCGGGTGCTACCGCGTCCGGTTTCCGACTTTACTGCACGTTTAGGGTGGGGCCCTGGGATGACTCTCGACTCTTGTTTGGACCTTCTTCAACAAATGGGAAACATCCGACACGAAGAGCACACGTTACGGCGTAGAACCCTGCAGGCAGCTTGTACTCTCCCTGAGGACTCTGCCTAGCGAGTGGCTTTGCGTGTCCTTAACCCGCGACAGGTTGGGACACTCGCAGCGCTACCCCCCCCAGCTGCAGCTCGGGGTGGCCACTTGGAAGTGGTACGAATGTTGCTCGAGGCTGAAGCTGAGAAGAATGCTGCAAAGCATAATGGGGCAATCGCCCTGATGGCTGCAGCTCGGCGTGGCCACTTGGAAGTGGTGCAGGTGTTGCTCGATGCCGGAGCTGACAAGAATCCTGCAAAGCAAAATGGGGCCTTGATGCTTGCAGCTCGGCATGGCCACTTGGAAGTGGTGCAGGTGTTGCTCGAGGCTGGAGCTGACAAGAATGCAGCAAC